AATAACATGTTTAAAGCTCGGGTCTGTAACTTTAGTCTCATTAATAAAATGTTTAAAGCTGGGGTCTGTAACTTTAGTCTCATAAATAACACATGTTTAAAGCTGAGGTCTGTAACTTTAGTCTCATAAATAACACGTGTGTGTGTGTGTGTGCATATGCAAAAAACATTTCTAAGCATCATATTTAGATTGCTCCATCAATTACCTTTATTTTGATATATTACATAGTAGTTTGAAAAAAATGTTTTCCGGATTTCCTGTTGGCAGCCATCTTGGATAAGCTGGCGGCCATATTGGAATCGGGGTCGGCCAAATTGTAAAATGAATATCGAATTCAACATCCCTGAATTGTTTCCTTCTTTACTGTGAATTTTAATGTTTATAGTTAGTAAAATAGGAAAGTTACAGCACTTAGAAGATGAATAAAGGCTTGAACTGGCTGAATAGAAGGTTCCACAGTATCCCTTTGTTTCAAACCAAATTACTTTCACTATAAGCGCATAAAAGCACTCATCAATATGGTAATAAAATCATAACCACTTATCCGATTTTCATAATTCAAAAACTGTTTTATTCGTCTTACTGAGCTGGAAAATACTGTGCTGAATTAAATCTGATTTGGTAATTTAAAAAATGTAATGTTGCATTGCTACTTACATACAGCTCACATTTTGTGGGGATTTTAGTGTCCCTTGTCATCCTGAACTTTATTTCTTGTTAAATCGTTCAGTTTTCTGTAAATCCACACTTTGCAACAATCTCTGCTCGTTTTTCCCGCTCTGGCTCCACTCTAGGTCTGCTCTGATCAGCAGCTCTGATTGGTCAAAGTGCAGGCGAGCCCCTTTGTGCTTGTGCATAAGAGCCACAAACGCATCATGGGAGCTAGTCCACTGCGCAGAGCAGGGAGGACCAGACGATGCCCAAATATGGGAGAGTACCACTAATTTTTTGGTCCCCATGGTTGCCCCATGCGCTACTGAGCACAAGCCATTGATTTGAAAAGGACACAATCTTGAATCACCTGGGCTTGGTCAGACCTCCTCACTGTGGGGAATGGAACGTTATCAAGGAGACACATGTGCGCATACACTGCTTTGGTCTAACTTTCTGTAGCTCCGCCCCCTTTCATTTGTATTTCTTTGTAAGACACAATAAAAGAATTATGCTTTGTGAAATAATAAAACAGAAATAAATGATAAAGATATACAGAAGATAAATACATGCAGAAAGAAAATAAATAAATTAATGAGGATTTATTATTTCTTTGTGCACGAAACTGCAGACAAATGATAATAAAATATTTCTTTGAAATCTTAACCTTTGAATGAACAAGGCATAATAACGCTCTATTATTTAGTTTTGAACCAAAAAACATTGTAAAATAATATAAATATAAAATACTATAATAATGTGTTGATAGTGACATTTATTTATTGAATAAATGTCACTATCAGGGCGACAGTAGCTCAGTTGGTAGAGTATTGGCCTTTGAGCCAGAGGGTTGTGGGTTTGAGCCCAACCTTCACCATCGACTTCCACTGTCTGCTGTCGTTGTGTCCTTGGCAAGACACTGGGAACAGTGGGGCGGCTGCGGCTCTAAAGTGCCAAACTGACGTTGTGTCCTTAGGCAAGACACTTCACCCCCATTGCCTAGAATGAGTCTGGTGTGTGTGTGTGTGAATGGTTGGTGGTGGTCGGAGGGGCAGCTGTGGCTACTGTAGTAGTTCATCACCACTGTGTGTGGAGTGAAAGAATAATGACATGTAAAGCGTCTTTGAGTGTCCAGAAAAAGCGCTATATAAAACTGATGCATTATTATTATAATAAAATAGAGGCCTTTGAGCCAGAAAGTTGTGGATTCGAGCCCACCACGGGACCTTCTTCACTGACTCCCACTGATGTGTCGTTGTGTCCTTGGCAAGACAGTTAACCTCTGGGAACACCAGCTGCCACAGTGGGGCAGCTGCGGCTGTAAAGTGGCAAACTGCCGTTATGTCCTTAGGCCAGACACTGCCTAGAATGAGTCTGTTGTGTGTGTGAATGGTTGGTGGTGGTCGGAGGGGCACATACTGGTTGCCTCACTTCTGTCAGTGTGCCCCAGGGCAACTGTGGCTACAGTAGTAGTTTATCACTAGAGATGCACCGATCCAGCTTTTTTACTACCGATACCGATACCAGAGCTTGACCGATACCGGAAATGATCATGCTAAAATGTATTTAATAATTGAACTCTTTGTTCAAGTAACTGCAAAAGCAGTGGATGAACTAAAGCGCTAAACTTTCCAGATAAAAATGGATTCAACATAAATGTGCAATAATGCAACTATAAAGAACTGCTCAATGTTCACATTAAACATTCCAACACTGTATTATACCTTATATATTTATTGAATATAAATGTACTTATATTAACTGTGTTTGAATAAAAAACACTTTTAACAAACAAAACACGCTGCATGAAAATGTAAATAAATAATAGTACCGTAGCGTTAACTGGATTTCAGATATGTATTTGGCGACGGCATGTACCTGGGTTCCAAATGGTCTATGCGGCTGCGAGCCCAAACTGATTAACTCCAACACTTTCGGGTTGTTGCTGAAAAGCTTTTTGTGACGCTGCGTCAGTGTCATCTGTGTCTCGTTGTTTTCACGTAATCTCCTTTCGATGCAAAAACTCCCCAATCTGTTTCTCGTGGTGCTTAGTCGTGTTGTATTTCGCTAGTTTACCGCCGCGTGAACAACGCTGATTCTTTCCTGCGCTCCATGCTGTGTTGTTGTTGTTGTAGAGCGCCACGAGGAAATGACGTGTACGTCAGATCTGATAAATTACTTTTAATTAATTCATTTTATACGTATATGTACATTATGCACAATGTATTTTAAGACATTGTGCGATACCTGGTATGTATTAAAAAATATATATAATAAAAAAAAGAAAAAAAAAAAAGAAAATGGATCGGCAGCACGGCGCCTCTCTCTACGTAGATATCCGATCCAGTATTTTTTCTGGTATCGGCGCCGATATCGATACCAGTATCGGATCGGTGCATCCCTATTTATCACCACAATGTATGGAGTGAAAGAATAATGACATGTGAAGCATCTTTAAGTGGCCAAAAAAGCGCCATATAAAACCGATGCATCATCATAAATTGCGATTGCTTTGTTTTAATTGCATTTAAAATTTCCAAAAATGTCTCTCTTGCACTCTTCACTATTCTCCCCAACCCCTCCTCTCCTCTTCCTTCTCTGAGTTTTGCATGTACCTGTTCCTCAGTGTTATCCCTAAAATACATGTCGTTTTCAGAATGTGTTCTTGCCGTGCTGAAATTAATTAGTATTCTTCTTAGTTGTTAATTTTGCAGGTTTTCCTGAGATTGTTGACAGCTTGTAGGGCTGAAACAACTAATCGATTAATCGAAGTTTACGCCATGAATACGTCCTCGAGTGTTGCCACTTTAGCTTTTTGTGATGAAAAAATACATTTTTTCTACACAATTCACAGCCAAGCGATTACTCGATTAATCGTAAAAATAATCGATAGATTAATCGATTACAAAATAATCGTTAGCTGCAGCTCTAACAGCTTGTTTTAATAACAGCCGGGGAAGGAGGTCTGAGGAATTAAAGCCACTCCGAGCAGCAAAAAGCTTAGCTGCAGCGGATACAAAGACCATGTGAACAGGATTGTGCACCTTTAATCACTCACAAACGAAGCGAATCAAACAAACCATTCTGGAAAGAAACATGTGAAAACTTTTACATAGTCTATATACATGTGTAAATATATGCACATTGTGCCCCCTTGAACCTTTCAACATTTCGCCACATTTCAGGCTTCAAACATAAAGATATAAAAATTTAATTTTTTGTCAAGAATCAACAACAAGTGGGACACAATCGTGAAGTGGAACGAAATTTTTTTGGATAATTTAAACTTTTTTAACAAATAAAAAACTGAAAAGTGGGGCGTGCAATATTATTCGGCCCCCTTGCGCTAATACTTTGTAGCGCCACCTTTTGCTGCAATTACAGCTGCAAGTCGCTTGGGGTATGTCTCTATCAGTTTTGCACATAGGGCTCCAGACTAACTTTTTTCATGACCGTCCCGACACCGTCCCGAAAACCATTTGGCATCGTCCCGAAATGGATGTGAACCGTCCCGAATTTAATATGTATTTTTTAATACATTTTTTTAATTATACATTTATTATAAAAGTATTTTTATCATTGTTTTACACAATATAATGTGTAAATAAATGACTAATTTCACAATAATGCAATTTATTGGTAAAACATTCTTAAACAATAAATACAAATTGTGCAGGCAGACCCACTTAAATCAGAGGCCAAAACTACAGAAACAGATTCAATTCGCACAGACTCACATCATCAACTAAATAATGTAAAACACTTGTTAATGTTAAAGGAACTAGATGCAAGTCGGCCATTTTATACTCACGACTGCCACCTCAGGTCAAATCTTCTACATTAAGCTTGTGCATGACTTTCCACTCTGTATAGTCCCTTTAATGTAAAAACATTAACATTTCATACAAAAAAATAGAACTGCTCAACCGGCACAAAGACTGCGTATAACTAGTGGAAGAAGCTGATTAAAGCTACAAAAAAGCAAAACATTTCTTTCTACTTATGATCATCATCTGCAAATGTGGGCCTTCGTGCCCTGTAACTGCCCCTCCACCATGCTGTCACGGCTTTTGCGGAATCGTACTCATCAGGAGGAGGGCCATGGATGGAAATCTGAAGCAGTGAGTTGAGCATTTCATTGGTCAAGCATGACCTCCAATCTGATTTAATCCGTTTCATGGCAGAAAAGCCACGCTCGCAGCAGGACGACGACATGGGGAAGACCAGTGCGATTTCTGCAATGACTTGCATGTGTTTAAACTGCCCCTCTCGACCAACCGCACCCTGCAGTACTCGCTGCCACAATACTTCTGAAGACATGTGTCTGTAACGCCTGTCCACCAGTGTCTTTAGCTCAAGCCACTCTCGTTCAGCTGCTTCCTCTGAATGAAAATCGTTACATGGATTTAGAATAGGTTCAAAGTGTTGGATGAAGAGATTCAACTCTTTTGTGCCAAAGGTTGCCAATGATTCTCTATCCTCGGGCCAGTTTGATAAATCAAAGAGTGTGGAAGCTGCCTTAAAGGAATAGTTCACCGTTTTTACATACTGACATATGTTCTTACCTTACCTTAGACTAGTTAATACGTACCTGTCTGGTCTTAGTCCGTGCGCTCTGTCATGCAAACGGAGCAAAGTCGGGAGCACAAACGCAGCCTCCTCTGTATACTGTGTAGGACCAAAAGGTAGCTCCCGCTAGAAGCTACCAAACTCTTCCAAGTGTTCCCTATTAAATGTATATAGTTACGTGACGTGTTACACTGCAAAGTATAGTAACACAGAAATGTAACAGTCGATTTTCTCAGCGGATAAAACGGGTACTATATTGTGAGGCGTAGTAATCTGAGGAGCGCTACGCCCGCGCACTAACTTCTCTCCGGAGACTTCTCTCTCGCTCACTTCCGTCAATAGAAGCAGCGTGACTTGTAGTACACACAGTAGCAGCGAGAGAGAAGTCTCCGGAGAGAAGTTAGTGCGCAGAGAAGTTAGGAGCGCTACGTCCGCGCACTAACTTCTCTCCGGAGACTTCTCTCTCGCTGCTACTGTGTGTACTACAAGTCACGCTGCTTCTATTGACGGAAGTGAGCGAGAGAGAAGTCTCCGGAGAGAAGTTAGTGCGCGGGCGTAGCGCTCCTCAGATTACTACGCCTCACAATATAGTACCCGTTTTATCCGCTGAGAAAATCGACTGTTACATTTCTGTGTTACTATACTTTGCAGTGTAACAAGTCACGTAACTATATACATTTAATAGGGAACACTTGGAAGAGTTTGGTAGCTTCTAGCGGGAGCTACCTTTTGGTCCTACACAGTATACAGAGGAGGCTGCGTTTGTGCTCCCGACTTTGCTCCGTTTGCATGACAGAGCGCACGGACTAAGACCAGACAGGTACGTATTAACTAGTCTAAGGTAAGGTAAGAACATATGTCAGTATGTAAAAACGGTGAACTATTCCTTTAAGTACCCCAGTGTCCAGACTGTTGTACCGCTCTGAGATAAAGTTGACCAGCTTGTCAATCAGCTGACTCTTCAGCATTTGGAAACTGCTGTCATCTGTCCTGGATGTGGACAGCTTCACTCCCTGCCAGACTCCTCCCTCCTCAACTTCTGAGAGGAATTTCTTGAGTCTTGGTCCAGGGTTTGTCTATGTAGAAAAAAAGACATTCACATTCATTATGAATTGATTGCAGAATTTAGTTTAAAATAAATACACTGTTGACAGTTTTATGAAATAATTAATGTATTTTTTCTTAACTATGTATTTATAAAACTAGTTATTGTGTATGTATGTATGTATGTATGTATGTATGAATCATATAGTAATATGGATTTTATATGGATTTTAGTTATTTGTTATTTATAATGTATTTATTTATTCATCCAAAGTGTATTAATATATTAATTGAATGCATTACACAAAATGAAAAAGCAGACAAACACTAGTAATAATCACTAAAAACAATTACCTGCATGGCCACTAGGGCCTGTGTCGTAGTCATAAGTCCATCCGAGACCATTTGAAGGGTTAGACCATCTTGTTGGAATACTAGGCTAAGTTGTTTGAGTTCCTGAAGAACATCCAGCAGAAGATTAATGAAGAGGAGCATGCTGTACCTTTTAAGTGACTGCATTACTATTTTCGCCCTCCCCTTCATGACTGCACTCGCTTCACGATCATTAGGGTCACTTGCATGATTCTCAAAATGCACAAGGATGGCCTGGTAATTCCTCATTAGTGCTTCTAGTGCATGCGACAAGTGTGGAAGCCACCGGGTCCCCTCAATGTTGCCGGGTCTCATGAGGTCAACCTCCAATGCCCTGCTGATCTCCTGTAGCTCCCTGGTTGCTTTGGCAGAGCAGGTATAGTGTTTGTGAATGGTGCGGAGGGTGTGCTTTATTTCCTGGAGTTGTGAGACCGACTTCATGCAGTCCAGTGCAGCAAGCTCCAGCCGATGAGCCACACACCAGACCGGGACAAGAGATGGACATATTTTTTGGAGTTTTGCTGTCACTCCATTATTTACCCCAAGCATGACAGCTGCGCCATCGCAGCCAAATCCCACCAGGCGGTGTTTTAGGTCCTCCTCTTCCACACCACATGCTGCCAGTCCATGCAAAACAGCATCAAGGATACCCTGACTATTGGCACGCTCTAACTCTATAATGTGAACAAATGTATTCACTGGCTTGCCATCTTCCACAAATGTGCAATAAATTAGCTCTTGGTCTTTGACAGACCTGTCCACAGATGAATCAGACATTATGGAAAAAAATCTGACAGATCGGAGCTTGCGTTGGAGCTCCTCAGTAAATACGGAAGCAATATAGGAAATGAACTGACGACATGCCTGATCATTGGTGTATGTGTTCCCAAGATTCAGCCCGTTTGTGTGAAGGAGTGTAATCAACTTGGGAAAAAGAGTAAATGGTAGCTCCTCTTTGGCAACAAAATAAGCTGTATTAAAAAGTTTTAACATCTTCTCTTTTACAGTCTCGTCAATTCTTTCAAAGGCTAGCACCAAAGAACCAGTGTTGGGGTTTTGCCGTGCGTGAAGAGCATCCTCTGCAAGTTTGTGAGCACTGGTGGCAGCGTGATCTTTAATGGAACGAACTCTAATTTTGTCCCCGGTTACCCCATGAAAAAGGGTATTTCCTGCTGCTTGGACAGGACATGCTCTACAAGTCTTACAGAACATCATTTGTCCTGGTTCATCATACTCAATGAACTTGTAGGCTTCTTTCCATTCTGAAAGAAATTTTCTTTTGCGGGTTGCTTCATATCCACCTTGTTTCTGTAAAGAAAACAAAAAGAAATTACTAATTATTGAATGATATTTAGTGACTATTGATATTCACAGATTATTTATTGATTTATGTAAAAGAGGGTTTATAAGACGTCATACACCTCATAACAGTTGTAAAGGCCAGGTTATAAGTAGGGCTGTCAAACGATTAAAATTTTTAATCGAGTTAATTACAGCTGAAAAATTAATTAATCCTAATTAATCGCATTTTAAGCTATCGGCTAAGTTATGCCATATTTTTCTGTGAATGGTTGTTTGAATGGAAAGATAAATGACTCTATAGTGTACATATGTACTGTATTTGTTTACAATAACAATAAATCCAAACAAAACAGCTTTAACATTACTCACATTCTGTCTTTCTGCAGTAGACAGTTTTTTTTTCTAAGTTGTATTAAAAGCTGTATTAAAACCCGTAATTTAGTTGAAACAATTTGCTCATTGATTCAGCTGTGTATGAATAAAGGCCATAAAAAGTGCTGGGTAGAAACATTGCTTGACGCTAGCTCTCCTAGGCCACGCCCCCTCTAGCGTCTGCAGAGCATGTAAACACACCAGCAGCATGGCAGGAGAAGGAGGCTATACTTCCTCTGGCTGTAACTGTAAACACAGCAGAACAGCCCAAAAGACGCTAAAGTTATGAGGACAAAAGGGAACTACAGCGAAAAAAAGTTAAAAGAGGAAATCAATCCTGGATGAATATAGCTAGCTTACATCGTATCCTCTGTCTATGGGAGAGACCTGCGCTGCCTCGGACTGTCTACACGCGGACTCTCTATGCTCGGACTATCTACGCTCGGACTACATTTGGACGGGAAACTAGCGGTAATCTTTCAGTTATTGTACGGTATATTTGTTAGCAGTGCGTTGCTTTTGTACCATTTCATCAGTGATTGTTGTACAGCTTATAAGAAGTTGTAATGTTTGCCTGTCAGATCATGGCTCCGTGAGAGGAGAGCGTAGGAGAGAGGACGGTCTCTGGTGTCTGTGAGCGTCACCTTTGAGTGTTATTATGGGATGCGTTAATTTTTTTAACGCGATTAATGAAAATAATTAATTAACGTGCGTTAACGCGATAATTTTGACAGCCCTAGTTATAAGACAAGTAGAAAAGTATGCCTATTCCACAATGTAAAATAAAATGTGCAGTTTAAATTTTGACAAATTAGGTACATTGGTAAATTGCCAATCCTAGCTTTACAAATACTAACTTCAAGGAGCGCTGGTTGCATGTTGTATACAGCTATATAATAATAATATATAATATCGATACAAAGCCGCACATAGTCTTCCCATGAGGCCAATGGAGCCGGCGATGCGTCAGCTCTGTGCGCGCCTCCACAACGTGCTTTTATTTCACTTTATTATCAGCCTTTACACTACCGCGTGTGGAATAAAATTTGGTTATTTCTCTGTTTGCTCTGAATTAACAGTAGACCTCTAATGGCACGTACAGCACAGAGCCAGATAATGCACGGACATTATTAATGCTAGAATGTGTTGTATTAAAACACGAGGCTTAGACAGACAGATGATCTAGTAGGTCACGTAATGATTTGTTCATCAATTATGGATTAACAGGGCCAAGGTGGGTCGCAGGCAGCGCGCACCAAGGCCACAAAAGGCCTCTGACCCGCTGTTGATTTCTCTGTTTTTTTATGCTAACGCTAAATAATACGGACATTAGCAAAATCTGTGCCATAATAGATATAGCTAATGTCCGTATTATTTAGTGTTAGCATTCGTTGGGGTAACAAATGCAATAAGAAGACAGTTGAATATTTCTATTAGTTGAGCAACTACCCATTCATTTGAAATAACGTTTCCTTATAAGGCCTCAAATGTATGTGTTTTGCATATTTCCCATTAATTCAATGTGTATTTTATAAAGCTAACTTGTCTATCAAACTGCAGTGTTAGCGTTAGCAGTCAACTCTTCGCTGTAATGATAAATTATCTTACCTTTAAAGTGTTTGGTGGAGGCTGGTTGGATTGCGCTTCCGAAGAGCCTGCGACAATGTTCCTGTCTTTTGGCAGCGACAACCACCGCAGCATTCTGGATTGCACCTTTACCGCTCCTTCTCTATGGACAGGGTGCCAACTGTGCAGGTGCCTGCATGCACCTGCTACGTGGTCAAACTGGGTCCGCGCAGAGAACGGAGAAGCGGGAAAATGTTTGCCCATGATTCCGCGTCAAATAAGAGCAGAACAGAATTCCCTGAGCGGGAGCTCTCTCTCTTTAATATGGAACATTAGCACTCGCTTACACAAATATATTGCCTATTTTACAAATAAAAATTGGTTAAAGGCTTTCCGTCCAGGGACCGTCCCGGGGAGAATTTAATCTCGTCCCGTGCATTTTTTTTCCCGTCCCCGGGACGACGGGACTGTGTTAGTCTCGAGCCCTGATAGAGAGACTGGAATTCTTTCCCATTCTTCCTTGCAAAACAGCTCGAGCTCAGTGAGGTTGGATGGAGAGCGTTTGTGAACAGCAGTCTTCAGCTCTTTCCACAGATTCTCGATTGGATTCAGGTCTGGACTTTGACTTGGCCATTCTAACACCTGGATACGTAGGTTTTCTTCCAGAATGGTCCTGTATTTGGCTCCATCCATCTTCCCATCAATTTTAGCCATCTTCCCTGTCCCTGCTGAAAAAAAGCAGGCCCAAACCATGATGCTGCCACCACCATGTTAGACAGTGGGGATGGTGTGTTCAGGGTGATGAGCTGTGTTGCTTTTACGCCAAACATATCGTTTTGTGGCCAAAAAGTTTGATTTTGGTTTCATCTGACCAAAGCACCTTCTTCCACATGTTTGGTGTGTCTCCCAGGTGGCTTGTGGCAAACTTTAAACAAGACTTTTTATGGATATCTTTGAGAAATGGCTTTCTTCTTGCCACTCTTCCATAAAGGCCAGATTTTTGCAGTGCACGACTGATTGTTGTCCTATGGACAGACTCTCCCACCTCAGCTGTAGTTATCTGCAGTTCATCCAGAGTGATCATGGGCCTCTTGTCTGCATCTCTGATCAGTCTTCTCCTTGTTTGAGATGAAAGTTTGGAGGGACGGCCGGGTCTTGGTAGATTTGCAGTGGTCTGATACTCCTTCCATTTCAATATAATTGCTTGCACAGTGCTCCTTGAGATGTTTTAAATCTCGGACCTGCCTGGTGTGTTCCTTTGTCTTCATGGTTCGCTCTGCGCTTTAAACAGAACCCTGAGACTATCAAAGAGCAGGTGCATTTATACGGAGACTTGATTACACACAGGTGCATTCTATTTATCATCATCAGTCATTTAGGACAACATTGGATCATTCAAAGATCCTCACTGAACTTCTGGAGTGAGTTTGCTGCACTGAAAGTAAAGGGGCCGAATAATATTGCCATGCCCCACTTTTCAGTTTTTTAATTGTTAAAAAAGTTTAAATTATCCAATAAATTTTGTTCCACTTTACGATTGTGTCCCACTTGTTGATTCATGACAAAAAATTAAAATTTTATATCTTTATGTTTGAAGCCTGAAATGTGGCAAAATGTTGAAAGGTTCGAGGGGGCCGAATACTTTCGCAAGGCACTGTATATTTCAAAAGTTACTTTCTGTAATATGTCTCAATACAATGAGATAACAAGAGTTTGGCAATAAATTGGTACTAACTGTGTGGGAAAAAAATTTTTAAAAATCCACTCTCAGCTCAAAGTGTCAAATAATGACTCACAGGGCTCTTAATTATGCAACATTAAAACATGGCCTGTAGAGCGTTCTGTTAGATTTGTTCAGAACAGTTTACGTTTGTGCACAAATAACATGCATTGTTAATGCAAGGGGAAAATGTATGTACCCAAGCTTTAATTTCAGGAGTTTTGGTTGCGCTTCGGGAGCAGACACCGGGGAGTTCAGTTTGTGAGTTCAGGTGGTTAGAAAATGAGGTGTGTGGTGAGGGATTTTATAGCAACATAGAGCTGCTTCTTCAGGAATTTCACTTATTATTATTCACACATCACTCCTGAAATAAACCAGGGACCACTGTAAACTTTATGGAAAAATTAATATATAATTTTATATTAATATATAATAAGAATGATGGCACATTTGTCAATTGAAAAAAAGGGACGAAATCAGAAAACCAACAATGGACGAATGCGTACTTGGTTGCAAAATCCAATTTTCATTGAACTTTTCGGATCTAAACAACTGTTTTTTACTAATTATTGTGAATTCCAGCACTAGAGTTAGATCATCCCTATGTCCTGTCTCTTCTCTACTCTACTCTCCCTCTATCCCGTTTTCTTTAAGTACTCTTTCTCTCTCATCTCCTCTCAACTGTCCTTCCTCTCTCCTAATCTCACCTCCACTCTCATTTACCCTCTCTCCCAGAATTTGTCATGCCAATTGCAAAATATAAAAATGAGACATCTTTTATTCCGAACGCCAACAGTGTGCATCTCCATCTACAGCCATTAGATGAAACTTGGTCAAACATTTTGGAAACAGTAAACTGTGTGTAACAGTATATTCCCAAATTAAAATTACACCAAATATAATCATGAGTGTACTCTCAAAATATTCTTGCTATGCTCATTTTCCCCCCTCCAGTCCACCCTCAGTTGTAAATGTACAGTACAGTTTGCAGCTACCTTGTGCGTGGTGCAACTTAACCTAATTTAGCAGTGGGACAACAGAAAGCCAGCTACAATATCCAGGTCAAGCCACTCAAGCGCCACTGTGTGTAGGGGGAGGGGGTCTATGACAGATGGCCCACCACAGGAACCTCTCCCGGCCAAAGCAGCCTTCAGGTGGAGATGAAAGCAACAGTTCCTCTCATATGAGTATGGCTGAATACATCATTATTGAGCTTTCTGACAATGGTGCCAGTTTATATGGTAAAGGATTAGAGAGGGGAATGCACCGATATAAGGCATGTATTCTCAGTGTAGACCATGGATCTACTCTAATATCGGGTGTAGACGCTTCAGAGGAGTTTCTGAACGGGTTCTGTTGATATTGTTTTCTTATTGTTGAGGTATTTTCTTACCTTGGATCAAAAGCCGGTGTCAATGCTTTCCACTTCCAGACAAAAACAAGGTCGTAAATAAACCCACAAATACATCCACAGGTAATTTTGTGAAGAAAAAAAACTCCTGAAGGCTTCTCTGTAAAAAGTTAACTCCAAAAGGCCTCAAAGGGAAACCCACGTAGTGAGCCGGGGGCAGCAGTGACCAAGTTTAGCCGGCTAACACAGCTTTAGCATGCTTCCCAACTGAAGGAAAAATAACTAGTCTGCTAAAGAGTTTTTAAAAATGTACTGAATGAAATCCGTTATAATATATATGCACATAGTGCTGAATAATTCAAATGCACTGGAAACGGGTGACCATCGCCAATGTGTGCTTAATTATAACAGAAATATTTGGCTTAAACGGAGTTTGAGATGTTCAGCTAGTCGGAGTTAGCTTCTAGCCAGCTAGTTAGCTAATGTTTAACATTTTCACATATCAACTTAAATATCTCTCAAAAAGAATTCCCAAGAATGAAAGCACACCATGCACTGAGATGCAGTGCCATTGAATACTGTATATCATTTATATCTCTTAAAATGTGACAGAGAAACCGGCAAAGGCCTCGTCTGTTTTGGACTTCGGAGAGTACTTAGCTAGTAGCTAACGCTAGCTTCCCGAGTGCTGTAGCGTCACCACATCACGGGTCCAGGTGAAAAAGTATCCGTGTCTCTGGCTTTTGTCCAAAAAGGAAAAAAATAATAGTCCCATGCGCAATAATCCTAGTTCTGTCCGGCTTTCTGGTGTTTTCTCCGTGTTTCCACCGAATAGTCCGCGGGCTGATCCCTGTGCCAGCCTCGGCTGTCGGGAGTCAGACACAGCCAATGGGCTCTGGAGCTGAGAGAAACCAGAGGGAAGAGGAACAGGTCTATGTTCGAAATCCATCACTTCGCACACAAGAATCCGTATCTATCCTTTAGGACAGTTTTTATTTTCACCCCCAGAACATTTCTCCATCCATCATTTTGAACTGGACAGAACAGTTTCATGTAATATATTCAGTATGTGGGGGCGATAGTGGCTCAGTTGGTAGATTGACCTATGAGCCTGAGGTCGTGGGTTTGAGCCCACCACGAGAACGTCTCTACCTACTCCCACTGATTTCTGCTGTTGTTGTGTCCTTGGGCAAGACATATAACCCCACTTTACCTGAAGCCACCGCTCTGCTGTGACCGACTGAGCAGCCATCCTCCTGTGAACTCGACACCTGCAGAAGGATCAGTGAGAGGCCGTTGCCCAACGAAATGGGAAAGAATATTGTCTATGTGCAAATTGAAAACAGATCATTACATTTAGAAAAAACCAAGATTAGAATGAAGTGAACCCTGCTGCCCTTATCCACACAAGGATGTACAAAACTTACACTATAAAACTGTGACGTGAATATGTGTATAATCTAAATGACACGGTGATTCTAATTAGACACAGATTCAAGTCTTTCATTACAAACATGGAAGTATCTTAAGTATTCGATGAAAAGCTTTACTTATTGAACACTCTAGCGCCACGTGAATGTGACTGTGCTTAGGTCCAGAATCAGAAACTGTATTGTGCCCTCTTGTGGTGTCGTATTGGAGGTGCTTGGGACCAGCAACCCAACCAGCCAGTGAAACCAGTGCAGCAGGCCAGTGTCCACAACCTCCTTTTCTAATAATGATGATAATAAAAACAGAAATGATAGCGCATGGGTTTTTCACCATAGTATTTTGCAGCGAATATAGACCCATCCATCCATCCATTTTCTTCCCCTTAATTCATTTCTGGGTCGGAGGGGTGGCAGTCAGAGCTGCACCCAGTACACAGAGCACCAGCCCCTCACTGGTCCTCCTGCAGGTGGTGAGTCCACAGGAGCCTTGATCTTTCAGCGGGGACTTTGGGCAAAGTGGGGTTAAAGGCACACCGTGTAACTCTTGGCCACTAGGGGCGCTAGACCTGCAACTTTCACGTTTAGCGCCCCTAGTGGCCACAAGCAACTCAGCACTGTCGCAAAAGTCAACAAACAGTCAGCCGGTGTCTTTTGAGTGTGTATTCAGACAGCATGCACTGGTGTGTGTGTTCAAACTGTAGAGACATGCCTACAGATATTGAGAGCCTCTGCTGTGGTCAGCCTCCAGACCGCTGCATTAGTAATCTACCACACATGGACTTCTATATCCTGGATGAGGGAGTTCTGCGTCTAGCTCGTGCTGCGTGGAATGACATCTTTGCAGTCGATGACATCCAGGAACCAGGTGAAGAGCAGCGCTCATACAGACATGCAGCTTACAGCACGATCCCTTTCGCGTTTCCTCTTTTTAGCCTCCTCCGAAGGTTTAAAATTTTTCCTTGCCATGACCAGGAGTCGAGCAGGTGAAAAATGAGTAGCAAAAGCCTTAGCTCCATGAGTATATCAGCGCCTGTAGCCGTAAAGCAAGTCTTTCTTCCAAGTCACGTGACCTGGTGGCAGACGGTCCGTCTGCTCGAAACTTACATGGGCGGTATTTCAAGAGGGCAGCCCCGCTCGGAGCATTGCAAGTGTCAAGCGCTGTATATTGGCCCAAGTATTCATATAAAATAACTCATATGTGTCAACTCTTTAGGTCACAAAGTCCGCGGTGTGTCTTGCCCATGGACACAACGACAGCAGACATCAGTGGGAGTCATGAAGTAGGTCTCGTGGTGGATTCTTAGACTTAGAATTGAAATGAGAAACATTGTGAAATGGATAATCAGTGACTGAAATTAGCAGGCAACAATTTTCAAATATGCTTTTTCAGGGTTAAGCATTTGAAATGGAAAAATTCAAGCTCATTTAAAATTCAAATGAGCCTGAATTTTTTCATTTGAAATGGAAAAATCATTACCCATTTAAAATTCAAGGGCGGCAGTAGCTCAGTTGGTAGGGCATTGGCCTTTGAGCCTGAAGGTTGTGGGTGCGAGCCCACCACCACTGATGTCTGCTATTGTTGTTTCCTTGGGCAAGACACTTAACCTGACCTTGCCTGAAGCTCTAGCTGAAAAATCAAGGCTGTATCGTCACTGACAGAGCAGCCATCCTCCTTTGGGCTCACCACCTGCAGGAGGATCAGTGAGGGGCTGGTGCTCAGTGAATTGGGTGCAGCTCTGACTGTCACACCCCCCCGACCCAGAAATTAAGGGGAAGAAGATGGATGGATTTAAAATTCAAAATATGATGACACAATAAATCTTCCCTATATAACAGCTCTTTTCTGGACACTGTTATTCATTCACTTCATACAGTGGGTAGAAAGTTACCTGATGATAAACAACTACTACCACAGCTCCCCATGGGCACACTGACAGAAGCGAGGCAACCAGTCTGTGCCATCGGCCACACCCACCACCACTAATTATTCACACATTCTGGACCAGAGCAGAGGGAATAATCCGAACTAAGAACACTCTGCATACATCAGCCAGAGGATAGGAAGCAGCTCATAACCAGCAGCTGTTCCATCTCTGCTGCTATGACCTGCCTTGCACTTTATTACTATTGTTAGTAACTTTTAGAATATTTGTTTGTGTGAATGGATCTGTTTCTGCTGCTGGACACCGGAATTTCTCCTATGGGGGATAATAAAATTTATTATATGACTTGGACCATACGCACGCTCTGATTGGCTGATTTGCGGTCTGATATTTTCCCATCTCGGACCGTTACCATGACAATTGGTCCGAACAGCGCGTATCACATTGGATATCTTTCCTCGGACCGTTACCATGACAATCTGTCCGCAGCGCATATCACACAAAACCAAGTCGGACATGAACATACTTCACAAATATCTCAAAAGCATTGGTAAAGACACAGACGAGAGTCATATAATAAAACATTTATTAACCTTGTTTGCTCGGTCTGTACAGAGAAATATCAGACCTTGGCCTTTTTGCACAGACCTCGCCACGGCTTGGTCTGTACATTAAGGACGCGGTCTGATATTTTTCCATACAGACCTCGCGCTCGGTTAATAAACCGTTAATCTACCTTTCTATCATGGTGACACAAAGTGCTTTACAATGTAACACACTGTAAAGCACTTTGTGTGCATTACAATGTTTTACAATCAGGACTATTGTATGAGAGAGACCAGAGAGAAGGACCTGGCATCAGGAGGAAACCTACCCAGACACGGGTAGAACATGCAACGTCCACACAGAAATACATGTATCTTCATAAGAAAATATATCCACAAACATAAATCAAAGTGTTTTATTGCTGAATGCACATAAACCGATTCAGAATGATCTCAGAGCGATGTACAGGTCCCTGAGGTTTAGTTTTCCTCAGAAGACAGGAGTGTATATTCATGACTGGACTTCTGCCTGGTTCTGTAGAGCAGAACTCCACAGATCATCCCCACAGCGAGTACAGCACATCCAGAGACAAACACCAGGTTCAAGTTCAGATCTGCTGGAGAGGTACAGACATGTGAAAATATGTTCAATATTTGTACAGTTTAATAAGAGGATAACTGTCCCTGGAGGGTTCTGACCACTGACCATACATGCAATAATGTGTTATCTTGTCTCTATCAACTCTATTCCGCTCTACTTTACTCTAGTCTAGTTTAGTGCCGTGTGCTCCTCTTTCCTACTGTTCTATAACTTGTGATGCAACACTGAAATTTCCCCGCTGTGGGACGAATAAAGGATCTCTTAATCTCTTAATCTTAGTCTACTCTCCCCTGATTGGGAGTGTTTCCACCGGCCGTGGTTAACCGGTAACAGGTACTTCTTTAGTCTCTCTTGGCCCCTGATCTATCCAGGCCGGGTACTAAATTGATGATCAATGTCAGAGTGCAGATGGACGCCATGGTTATACCAAGGAATTTTCCTGGACATTTTCCTTTGTTGTGGGCAGGTTGCCAAGATACGGTACCAGATTCGTTTAGAGTAGAGACAAGATAACACGCTGGTGGAAACAGGACTTAAGTAGTGCTTCATATTCTATAAAAAACTATATATTTTTTCATTTGGACCAATGTTTATTACAGATCGTCCATTATGTAAGGGATAACGTATATTACGCAGGTCATTATCGGAACATAAGTACCGACAGGGCGAAGCGTAGGGGTCTGCCCTGAAGGTACTTATACGGCTTTATACCAACAGAACACACAACATAAACTTCAGTCCACTTTTAGGAATGCCGAAAGGTTTATTTAAAATAAGAAAGAAAAGAAAATAGTTCCCAAAGGCTTTCCCGTGGCTATGCTAGCAACAGTTAGGCTATCAACTTCCAAACTAGAACTCCCTGGAACTGCATGAAAACTGAACAAAAAATTCTGAATATCAGCGGTGAGTGACCCATACATAAACCTAACCTAAATCCATAATTCGATCCTCTGCCAATTTGTCCTAAAATGTGCCGATATCTACTTCCGGGTTTTTCGGGATCGCCTTTTCTCGCATTACATCAGTGTTTTTGTCATAAAAACGTAAACAGAAAATTCTGAAAACTCCCGTGCACTTGTATTCAGAATGTATATGTATAATGTATTCTCCGATTAACATTTAATTGCGTTGATTGATTGGCATTTGCATTTAATGAGCGTGGCTAGCCCCGGAGTGGCCGGAACTACTTCCGGGTTTTTCATGATCGCTTTTTGACGCAGATAAATTGTATTTTTGTCATGAAGACAAGACCAGTAAATTCTGAAAATCTCCGTGCACGTGTGTGAAGAATGTATATGTTTAAGTATTCTCCGATTAACATTTAAGTGTGTTGATTGATTGGTATTTGCGTTTATTGAGAGTGGCTAGCTCCGGAGTGGCCGAAACTACTTGCGGAGTTATCCACGCATCTGAAAGACAAGCAGAGGGTGCGTTGCCATGGGCAGCGGTCATTATTGTTTTGAGAGGTCCGTTATAGAAAATAATGACTGGTAGAACGTTTTGAAATTACATTCAAATCAATGGAGCATTCTACAGCTGCTGTGAGGAGCCGTATAATAAAACAACACTAAACCCCCCCCCCCCCCCCCCCACCCACCCAGAAGGCAGTGAAAAGGAATGAATGAAATCTTGTACATGTATTAGCAGTCCTCAGTCTCACAGGGCCCTGGGATACATAGTGGACTCCAGTCTCAATAGCAGCCGCTCTCCTCCTCCTGTGAGCTCCTCTGGGCAGACATCCACGAGAGCAGCGAGTGTTGGGGTTCCCAGCCTCACACATCAGCACCGAGCAGCCAATGTACACCTGGGAACAGGAGAGAGACTAGGGATGAGGGATGCGGTAAACCAAGAGAAAATCCAGAATTAGTACAGTTGCCAACACTCATCTCTGAGGACACGGGCCACATTTTGTAATCTAACATAACATTCTCACTTCCAGCAGTTTATGCAGAGCTCAGGAGAAATAAGCTACGGCCACTCTATCCTACACTGCACTGCTCTATTCAAATCTACTCTGCCTGAAGCTACTCCACCCCTGCTGCTGTGACCTGAAGTGCTGTTGCTTATTATTAATATTGTTAGCTTTTTAGAATTATCAATTTGTTTTTTGTGTGGATGGATGTGTTTTTGCTGCTACTGGACACCTGGATTTCTATTACGGGGATCAATAAAGTATCTATCTACCTGGTTTCCAGAATTCTTTTGTATCTGGTACCATATCCTAGCTACCTACCCAAACCAATATCCATGGAACATCCTTGATGACCATGGCCAATCACTGTCAGTCAGTCACTGTCAGTTAGAAAAATTTAGTAGTCGGGCTGGATAGAACCAGGGCCAAGAGGGGCTAAAAAGCACCCTCCCAATCTTTGGCGAGTATAGCAAAGTAGAGTAGAGTTTGTATGTTCTCCCTGTCTAAAACTCGAGTGTCAGCCTTCACGGTCCCCTCACACTCGCTGAGGGAGATGGCGGTCGTGAAAAGGGCCCAGTCCACACCCAGCCCTGGCGACCCAAGCCCTCTGTCAGCTGAGGACGAGCTGATTTAGTGAACGCTAGGTGGCCTCTAGTCCATGAGGATTAAGCAGAAACACCCTCCACATAAAATCATACATCAATGGTCCACATACACGAAACAGCAGATAATTACCTTTTGATGCAAACCAATGAACTTAAAGGCTTCAATGCTGAACCTAAACTCCTCCTCTTTCATGGATGGATAAACAACAAGGGTTGAGTCCACATTACAACTGTAAAAAATAAATATATTGTAATTATGCGCCCACAGAATATTCTTCACTGGAGAAAACGTAAGTATGAAAACGTAGTTGTCTTTCACACACAGACGTCTGTATCAGGATGTTCAACTCAGGTCACGTGGCTGCAGGTTTTCATTCCAGCCAAGCAGGAGCACACCAGACCAGATTTCCTCAAATGGGTGGAGTCTGGTGGGCTCCTACAACACAGCCCTTTGGGGACCGAGCTGAAAACCCCTGCTCTCCATCCTCCTCGTCTTCACTGACCCGTTTTGGATGAGCACATATGGGTTGTGGTAGTTGGGGTTGTCATAAGGCGCAGCGCTGCACGACTCCACAAACATCTCTGTGTTGTTGACTGTGGTCGTGGCCTGGATCTCCATGTAGATTCGTTGGCCGACGTCGTACTCCAGAGGGTAACTCCATGGGTCGATCCTGGACACAAACTGGGAATCTGGGAAGAACTCAAAGCCGTAGGTGAAACTCCCAAAGCCCCTGTCCCACACGGTCACATTTTCTCTGTGAGCGCTGAAGCTCAGGGACACGTTTCCTCTCTTGGCATATTGGCAGAAGAACTTTATCTCCACCTGGTGTCTTCTGGTGATGATGGCTGATGGGTCATCCACAGTGGTGATCTCATTCTTGAAGAGGAGATAGTCATCATCTTCCTGTGAAAAGTAAAATACAAAAATATAATTTAAAAACCTTAAAAACATTTTTTGTTCTTAATATTCCTTGGTCCCATAGAAATAGGATGCGACCTTGCAGTAGGGCCGCTGGTCCACGTTTAGAAGAGCTAGCTTGAATATAAATAGTATTATCTAGCATGAATGCTCTAATGAAGTTAATTCAATTATGTATTTCTGAATGGCCCTAAACCACATAAGCAGTCGTCTCGGAGGACTTTACAAAGTTGTGTATTCACCAACAACAGATCAGAGAATCAAACAGTTTGAACTCAGGAAATGCAATAATTACATTACTAACACTTGCAATAATAACTTTGATCTACAGCCCCTCTCCTGGATCTATAGCCTCAGTGCTGGATCTCCCCCAGGTTTCTTACTTCTTTTACATTTTTTCTTTTTAAAAGTGGTTTCTTAAGGATGCAGGAGGATCTAAGGACAGTGATTATCCGGGACATTTCTGCTCATTTATTAACATTTCTGGACAGTGGTAATCCCACTCCCAATGGACCAATGGCTCCTACTGTATGTGTTTGTTGTTATTGCATTTCCTTAGTATGAACTATTTGATTCTCTGACCTATTGTTGTTGAATCCAAAACGTTATAAAGTCCTCCGAGGCGACTGCTATTGTGATTGTGGGCAATATACAAATACAGTGAATGGGCTCTATGCCCGGGGAGGCGTGATGTCATTTCCTGTAAACAAAGAACGGCTCGTTTACTTCCTGTCTTTGCTAGCTCTATGGCATTGTGGTGAGTTGTAGTGGCGTTTTTTTGTAATTAGATTGATACATTCAGCTGTGAGACTGACCCAAAAGTGTCGACGTGCTTTCTCTCTGAGGAATAGCTTTGACTGTGGCCACTCAGATTCGTTAACTTAATAAAAGCACAATTACAGCACAATCAAAGAGCACTGCTGTGTCCCAAAAATGCCCAGTATCCTCACAGTTTAATTCCTGTTTGAGCATTATTCAGGAAACTCGTGTAAACATCTGGTGAACTCCAGTGAACCTCAAGCCGATCCCCGTGCACCGGAAGTCAAGTGTCATTATAACTATAATGACACTTGAATTAATGCGCGCATAGAACCCCTTGAATACCTGAATCTGGGTGCCGCAGGCGTTGAGGGGGACATTGGCGACGACGTGAGTGCTGTTGGAGTGAGTCTGGAGGCTGCACACAGTGTTGCTGGGATCAGACAGACGGAGATGATCGTAGCGGAGTTGAGGTAACGTGGCCTTCTCCACCTCCACGATTATGGCGGACTCCAAGCAGGTGACCACCGTGTTCACTAACATGAAAAAGGAAGAATATGGGATACCTCAAACCAGACCACAACATGCTGTCTTCATCTTTTGTGTAAGCAAGAGCCCGTTTGACTCATTGGACTGAAAAAGCTGATCTAAAGATGTGACAGAGGCCAGAAAACTAGTGAATGAAGCAAAACGTTTAAGAGCAAATCTCATTGTACAGATGAACAATGCTAACCAGCTCAATGAGAAGTGCTCATGGACAATTTATGTTTCCAACTCATTCTAGCTTCTGATACATTGATGTACATGTAAAAGCAAACTATTCTTCACTGGACATCAGACATCAGTGAGTGTGTTTTGATTGATTATCCCTCTGCTCTCTGTACGCATTATCTTGATAATTCACATATTAGTCAGCAACAAACTAACTGTGTAAACACTTTGAATCGGCTGTACTGTAGCTGAGGTTTGGGTGTCGGTTGTTTTCCCACTAGATCCTCGCCTGTTAGCATTTACAATCGCTGGGATGATCTGTGCGAGGGGTCGCAGCCGGGCAGAAGGCCCCACTGAGAGAGCCGCTGAAAGAGCCGCTAAAAGAGCCGCTGAAAGAGCCGCTGAGAGAGCCGAGTCGCTGATGCGCTGATAATTGGCTCCTCTATTGCTAGAGGTGTTAAGATCCCAGGAGCCACTGTTCGGTGCTTCCCTGGGGCCAGGCTTGGTGAAATTGAAGCACCGTCGCTAAACTCACAAACTGCCATAGCGCAATCAAGCCTAAAATACCAAGCTCACTGAGCAGTGTCGACTTTCTTCACTTCTTTAGTAATAAAATTACATCCATCTGTGACAAACTGGAGGAAACCACTCCGAGTGTTGGTGATGGACAAGCTTAAGAGGCGTACTTGATTTCCCACTTGGACTCTTCAGACTTCGACAAGTTCATGGCTGTGAGCCAAGCGGAGGTGATCTCCGTGGTCGCATCTTCTAAAGCCTCAAATTGCATTTTAGATGCAATCCCGGCTTGGCTCTTCAAAGACACTCTTCTTTTGATAATAGAGCCCATCATAAATATAATAAACACGTCTATACAATGTGGCTATGTCCTACAAGTTTTTAAAACTGCGGTAAACAAACCCCTTCTGAAGAAAACAAACCTGGATCCGGAACTACTTACAAGCTACAAGACTGATCTCGAACCTTACTTTCATATCTAAAATCCTGGAAAAAGATTCAGAGCTCATCATAGAACTAGTCAAAGTCACAAATGACTCACTACTAGCTGCTGATAAGGGACAAGTGTCAGTGTTGGTCCTACTGGACCTGAGCGCTGCATTTGACACAACAGACAGTAGCATTCTACTGCGGAGGCTGGAATGTGACATAGGTCTCAGAGGAACAGCCCTTGGCTGGTTTAAATCCTATTGATCGGATCGGTATCACTTTGTCAATGTGAATCATAACTCGTCGCCTAATTCTGGAGTGGAATTTGGTGTGCCACAGGCATCGGTACTCGGACCGATTCTTTTCACGCTCTACATGCTGCCGTTAGGTAACGTCATTAAAAAGCATGGAATTAACTTCCACTGCTATGCAGATGACACACAACTTTACCTGTCGATGAAACTAAATCAGACAGATAAGTAGAAAAGGCTTAGTGTCTGCATAAAATACCTAAAAACAAGGATTACTCTTAACTTTCTACTTCTTAACCAGAGAAGATAGAAGTGATCCTACTCTGCCCAAAGAGTCTGCGCGACTCTATCTTGATAATGTCAGGATAGTACCCCGCAACACTGTGACGAAGAACTCTCCTTCAAGGCTTAAGTAAGCCAAGCCACTAAAACGACGTTATTCCACTTACATAACATTGCTAAAATCAGGAATATCCTTCCTAAAAGTGACATGAAAAAGCTGATCCACGTTTTTGTCTTGACTACAGTAATGCTTTGCTGGCAGCGTGCCCTAAAAGCTCTTTGAAGAGCTCCCAGCTCGTTCAGAATACAGCAGCAAGGATCTTAAAGGATCTTAGGTACCAAAAGGAGGGAGCACATAACTCCGGTGCTAAAATCACTCCACTGGCTTCCCGTGGAGTACAGAATAAAGTTTAAAATCCTTCTTTCAACATAAAAAGCCAGAAATGGCTTGGCCCCTTCTTATTTTCAAGACACGTTAGTGTCATATCAACCAAACCGAGAACTGCGCTCGCAAAATGCCAGACGTCTGGTAGTTCCTAAGGTCTCAAAAAGCCCTGTCGGTGGCAGAGCATTAAGCATTAAGCAGATACGGTCTCCACATTCAAAGCCAGGCTTAAAACACTCTTCTTCAATTTAGCATATCCTTAGGTTGTTTTTCTGGTTAGGCTGTTTGTCTGGTTTTGGAGTCTGCTTGTACGGGACCCAGCCCGACAAACCGCCGCATCTATCAACCTTTGTTACAAACTCGAACCTCACTTAACTACAGTATGTATTGTGGATTACACGCTTTATTTGGTGCTGTAGCCTGGGCTAGCCTAGCCGTGGCTGCTGCTGTCTCTCCTTCATTCAGACACGGTCTCTACATTCAAGGCTAGGCTTAAAACAGTCCTCTTCAGTTTAGCATATGGTAAGGAAGGTAAGACGCAGGGAAGACTAAACATCTTAGATTGTCAGTCAAGCTGTGTAGGGAGTCAGTTTGCTGGGAGAAGTATGGTAACTTCAGCACTATCCTCTCCTTCTTTCTACTTTATCTGTCTGTATTATAAGGATTTTGACTGTAGTCTGTTCATTGCTTTTCACGCTTTTCATGGCGCGACAACGGGACCTCTGAACCCGGCCCTCTCCATCTACATCTGCGGACTACCCTTCCCAACCCGCCTGGGAGTGCTGCAGTCCTGCACCGGACCTGTCCACGTTCTACGGCCACTCCGTGGCCCTGGTCCTTGTTCTGTGGCTTAGGTCCTGGATCTATAGCCTGTCCGTGTGTGGAGCTCTGTTTTCTCCCTTTCTCAATGTGGATCTCCCCGAGATTTCTCACTTTTCTCACAGTGGGTTTTAGAATTTTTCCTTGCCGATGCAGAAGGGTCTGTTGGACAGTTAGTGCCTAACGAGAAGGACTGTGGTGATGATCCAGGACAATTTAACATTCTACAAAAGTATGGACATTTATCAGCATTCATGGACATTGGCCCCTCCATATGGACCAATACGCATTTTCTGTGCCTTAACTGTTGATTCTCTGACCTGTGCTGGTGATTTCAATAGTTTTGTTAAGTCCTCTGAGATGACTGCTGTTGTGATTTGGGGCTATACAAGCATAAATTATATTGTATTTTATTTTGCGTTCAAATTGGCCTGATCGCTACAAGCTCGCACTATGGTGATGTCATACTAAGTCTACTCCTGGTGGAAAGTCTATGATAGAGCCAGAATTTGATTACATAGTCAACAGGCCGTCACAGAGGGTTACGTGGAGGTTTGATGCCGAGAGGACTGCGGTCAAAGGCAGTGACCTCAACGACCCAGTCCACACGCACAACATCTGGCTCTTGGTACGTGGAACGTCATCTCACTGGGGGAGAAGAGCCCGAGCTTGTGGGGGAGGTTGAGAGATACCTCACCTCCACACACTGCTTGCGCTCTGGAACTCAGCTCCTTGATAGGGGTTGGACGCTCCACTATTCTGGTGTTTCTTGCGGGGTGAGTCGGGGTGCCGTTGAGCCGGGGTGGCCATACTCATTGCCCCCCATCTTGGTCGCCACGTTTTGGAGCTCTCCCCAGTGAATGAGAGGTTGCGTCCCTCCGCCTTCAGGTGGGGGACAAGTCCCCCACTGTTGTAACGGCCTATGAGCCTAGGGGCCTAACAGCAGCGTACCTGGCCTTCTTGGAGTCCCTGGGAAGGGTACTGGACAGTGCACCGACCGGGGACTCCGTTATTCACTTGGGGGACTTCAACGCCCAGGTGGGAAATGCCAGTGACACTTGGAGGGGGTGATTGGGAAGAACGGCCGCCCTGATCTGAACCCGAGTGTGACACTTCTGTGCTAGTCCCGGTTTGATCACCGATCTCCACCTAGTCTTGAGTTGGATCCGCTGGCAGGGGAGGAAGCCGGTCAGACCTGGCAGACCCAAGCGAGTAGTGACCATGAGAGCTTCTCCCAGGTCCCAGAGGAGTGGGACATAGAGTCTGAGTGGACCATGTTCTTCGCCTCTATCACCAATGCTGCAGCTCATAGCTGTGCTCGTAAGGTCTCTGGTGCTGGTCCCGATAGCAACCCCCGAACCCGCTGGTGGACACGGGCAGTAAGGGATGCCGTCAGGCTGAAGAAGGAGTTCGGAGCATGAGCATCACTATCGGTTTGCCTTGAAGAGATTCTGGCAAACTGTCTGGCGCCTCAGGAGAGGGAAGCAGTTCTTTGCCAACACTGTGTAAGCTGAGGATGTTGGAATGGATACTTCAATCTCCCTGGCTGAAGTTGGCAGCCTCTTTGGTGGCAAGGCTTCGGGAGTGGATAAGATCCGCCCTGACTATCTAAAGTCTCTGGATGTTGTAGGACTGTCTTGGCTGACACGTCCCTGCAACATCACGTGGCAATCAGGGGCGGTGCCAATGGAGTGGCAGACCGGGGTGGTGGTCCGGAGGGTGTGTCCCAATTACCGTGGGATCACACTCCTCAGCCTCCCTGGTGAGGTCTACTGCAAGGTACTGGAGAGGAGACTACGACCGATGGTTGAATCTCAGATTCAGAAGGAGCAGTGTGGTTTGTTCCGGTCATTGAACACTGGACCAGATCTACACTCTCCATCGGATACTCAAGTGTTCATGGAAGTTCGCCCAACCTGTTCACATGTGCTTTGTGGATTTGGAGAAGGTGTTCGACCGTGTTCCCTGGGGTGTCCTTTGGGAGGTTCTCCTTGAGTTTGGGGTCCGGGGTCCTCTGCTGAGGGCCGTCCGGTCCCTGTATGTCCAGGGTCAAAGCTGCTTTTGCATAGCCAGCAGTAAGTCAGACCTGTTCCCGGTGCATGTTGGCCTTCGTCACCGGTTCTGTCTTTATTGGCAGAATTTCTAGGACCCCCTGTAGGGGTCCGGTTCGTGGACCACAGGATTTCATCTCTGCTGTTTGCGGGGATGTTGTCCTGTTGGCTCCAACAAACCAGGAATTGCAACATGCTCTGGGACGGTTTGCAGCTGAGTGTAAAGCGGCTGGGATGAGAATCAGCACCTCCAAATCTGAGGCCAAGGTGCTCGACCATAAAAAGGTGCCTTGCCCTCTCCAAGTGGGTGGAGAGGTCCTTCCTCAAGTGGAGGAGTTCAAGTATCTCGGGGTCTTGTCCACGAGTGAGGGAAGGATGGAGTGTGAGCGTGAGTCACTGCTGCCCCCGCGACCCGGCAAACGGATGAAGCGGAAGAAAATGGATAGATTAATGGAACTTAGACACCCCATCTTACATTTCGATACCGGTTTTGTTGTTTTTTCTATATTGTTGTTTTTCTCACCTTGAGCCAGTCCCTCTGTCACATTCAACAGCACACATCTCATCTCAGTTTGGTAAACAGCATCTCTGAAATCAAACACAGACAAGGACTTTAATATCATAATGTGTATTTTACAGAACAGAACCAGGATGTGATCAAAGCAGTGATGTGCAGTGAGCTTGGTGATTGGTGAGGCACTGACTCACCCCAATTAGATGTACATATATATTATAAACTCAGAGTGGCTTACTAACAATTTGTTTGACTGCAGCAGAATATGTTTAATGTCCACATTGTTTGCTCAAACAAAACGCAGAAGTTTGTAAAAAGCACAATTAAAAGTGTGTTATGGTCTTACCTTATAAATGAACTGCACAGACCACTTCGGTTCAGACCAGTTTCATGTTTAAGTCCAGATAATAGTTTGAGCGTAATCCGTATAATCCTCTATTTGGAAATAAATCCAAAAACTTTAAAAAGTAAAACAAAGTCTCCTCCATAGACTCCTCTTGTATTTCGCTAGCTGTCCGTAGCCGACTCTTGGGTGCATCAGATTTCTAAAATCAACCTTCTTACCCTTCACCTGATCACCCTTCACTATCATTCCTATCATCACTGGAACATAAAATTTCCCTAATTGGATTCTAAATGATCTTACAATGTGTTGTAGTTTAACCAAACCTGTAGGTGCCCTTATCAGAGGAAGAACAAGAAAGGAGGCGTAATTTGGGCTCACACACGTCCCCTACCCTGAGGCTGGCCTCACTTAGTGACATTACAAGCCGTGGTTGAGCGCGATTAAGACCCATATTTGCTGTCAAAAATACAATGTATGACCCATCCTCTCAACTCTAGACATGTTGATTGGAAAGAAAATGTGTTTTAACTTTGTAAACCTATTAGTATTAGATAGCAATATGGCCTACGTGCAGGACTCTACAAGGACTCCATTTTATGACTATGATGTGACTGTCTCTTTGTGACACGTATGTCTTTCGATGTGTGACGTGACAATGACTATATAAACTGTGTACTGCCTTTATTCTGTCTGAGAGAAAGAAACAGAGTAAACCAGTGGAACTTGAGAGAAACTTAAATAAACTTCCAGAGTTTGGCACACCACGATCCGTCTCTGTCTGCTAAATCCTAACAGATTTGGTGGAGAATGCGCGGCTCGGTTTGTGCCATTCTCTGGATTGTTTTGAGGGAGTTTTGCTTTGTTTCTTTTCCTCGGCGTGAGAGATCGGCATGCTGTGTCTGGGAGCGGAGATTCCAGCAGGCTGGAAGAGCTGTTCCTGGATGCTTCTTGTCGCTTCTGTCACTTTTGTTTTTTAAATTGAATTTTTCGACGCGGAAAAGATGTTGGTCGACCTCTTGAACAGTCCGGACAAAGAAAATAAGGTAAGCAGACACCTTTTTAATATGTAAAGTCTGCATAATTGGATACTAGCTAAATTTTGAGCTGTCCCGGAGGTCTGTCCAAATCTCTCTAAATCAAATTTTCTTTGTTATGTCTTTGTCACGTCTTTGTCATGTCTTATGTTGTAGAAAACAGGTTAGCTGTGTGGGTAACCAGTCCCTATAGGAAAAAGGAACCCCTGACGTATCGGGGTCCCTGTCCTTTGAAGTAGTCAGGACAGAGAGAAAGGAACCCCTGACGTATCGGGGTCCCTGTCCTTTGAAGTAGTCAGGACAGAGAGAAAAAGGAACCCCTGACGTATCGGGGTCCCTGTCCTTTGAAGTAGTCAGGACAGAGAGAAAAAGGAACCCCTGACGTATCGGGGTCCCTGTCCTTTGAAGTAGTCAGGGCAGAGAGAAAAAGGAACCCCTGACGTATCGGGGTCCCTGCCTTTGGAGTAGCCGGGGCAGAGAATAGAGAATAGAGAATAGTTAGTGAAACCATGGTGTAAACATAAAAGCAATAAAAAGGGAAACGTGTTAAGGAGGCCTTTTGTCACAAAAAGTTTTGTAATTAACCAATTCCAGGCTTGATAAATGACAAAAGTAAAGAATCAACAATATTTCAGTGATCACGGTTTAAATTACATACAGAAAAAGGAGTTTTTGTTTTCGGCGTGAACAGAGTTCACCGGAGAATGCAGAGTTTTATCTAAAGTTGAGCTATGAGAGCTTTCGTGAGTTATTTACATTTTTTGCCGAGTTTTATCTACAGTTGAGCTATGAGAGGGTTGTATCCAACAGTTGTTTTTGTTTTTTAGAAAGAGATTTTGAGTTTAAATTAGTTTGCTACCTCGATAAAATAGAAGCGTAAACGTTAAAGAAAAGAGTGCCTTTTGTTACTAGTGTGGAAAGTGATCACTTTCTAGACTTGGATGACAAAAGTATAAGAACAACACAAGTTATATTTGCTTAACAAAGTAATCTTGAAAGTTATTCTTCTTCTGTTTTGCCTGTGTGTGCACATCCTATCTTTCTGCCGTGTGTGTGCGGTCTGTGTGAAAGGAACCCCCCCGCCCTCCTGCTGCTGCTGCTGCTGCTCTGATTTAAAGGAGCTACTGCTTTAGGAATTTGGCTTTTCATAGTTTTTATTCCGTTAAATTTGCGAAATTTGCCATTGAACATTGTGTTATGACACAGTTAAACGTTTTTAAACACCATTAGTGAATAAGTTTTGAATTAGTATGTTTTTGAAACCCAAAGATTAGTGCTAAAAGCTGTGCAATTCTTTTTAGACCTAACATATTTCTAGATTCCATTCTTTTAAATCTGCTGCTTATTTTGTGAGTCCATTATTGTATCTCTGAAATATTTCATAGCTGTTTGTGAGAATTTTTTTTTTTATGTTTTTATTTTAGTTACAAAAGCCGTTTTTCAAAACATTTAAATTAGAATCCGTGTTAAAAGTGATTAGAATGATTGATTTATAGAGTTTGTGTAAAAAAGAAAAGAGGGATTAGGAATAGAACAGGATAGCTGTAAAAGTATTATTATTAAGTTGAACTGTGACCCAATTCACAGTCTAAAAGCTGTGAGTTTTGTGAGTTTTGTTTTGTCTATAGCTCTGGCCTTGCAGCTGCTGCTCACTGCAGAGCGAGCAGAGTTTGATTACGTCCGTTAATTCAAAATGTTTTTAAAAGTTTATTGAGTGCATTTGAAGAATGCAGCAATTATCTTAAATTAGAATATATGCTTTAAATGTTCAAGTGTAAAAGGGAGATTTTTCATACAGTTTTAGTTGCGATTTGAGTAATAATAATAATTCATTCTATTTTATGGCGCATTTCAAGAAATCCAAGGACGCCAAGATTAAAAACATCACACAGTACAGAAGTACAAAATAGAATACATTTTTTAAAGTTTAAAAGGTTTAAGAGATTTGAGTCTTGTTTTTTATTAAGAGTTTCTGGTTTTAAAAATGTCATCATTAGTAAGATAATAAGTAATCTTTTATTTACATAGCGCTTGGGAAAACCCAGAGCGCACCAAAATTGTTTAGACTTTAGAGAGAAAAACAATCTCATTCACAATCTCTGTTGTTTTTTAATTTGACTATAAGGTTGTTTTCCAGGACCAAGGCACACACTGTACGAGAGGTCACTGGACTGCTGGACACTGGACAGCGCAAAGCCCACCCAGCCACAGGTCACAGATCAAAGAGCAAAGGGAAATGCCACCTCCTTGCCCCTCCCCCCACTACAGAAGTAAGTGGGAGTGAGACCGGGGCCATGAAAGAGAGGTATCTGGAGGCAGTGATGGGTGGAGCGTCAGGGAGAGACCTGGAGGAGAGTTGAAAGTGTGTCCAGTTGGTTTGCATCACCACAGTGTGACCTTTGAGACCTACAGGTGGTTCGAGGAGTCTGGAGAAACAACCCCAAAATTCACATACACACACACACACACACATACACTCACACATTCACATTTACATATAGATACATGAAAAAGCAGAACATGAGAAAAAGCATTTTAAAAGTTTACTCCAATGTAAACACATATTTTTAATTGTCTATCACTTGAATCTTTAGTTGAATCAGTATTTTTTGAGACCAGAAATGTTCATTTGAATTCTATATTGTCATGGACTTAATTGACCTCTGTCCTGACACTTTTGATTTGTTGATTTTGTACTGTGTGAAGTAATTACATTGATGAGAATTAGATCTGATAAAAACACAAATTAGAGAAGTAAACTGAATCATTGCGCTTGCTTTTGTCTGAGGGACATTAGCAACAGCATGAATAGAAATTGTGTTAAAGTAGAATCAAAGTGACTTAACCATAGAGAGTAACTACTGCATTACAAGCTGTGTACAGGAACTGAGACACTGCACCATTGACCAGAAGTGCATCGCAAATGACCTGATGTGCTTCAACTGAAAAGACTGTATCTGGAGATCTGATGTGCATCTGGAGAGACCAGAACCATGGCTTGGACCCTACTGATGTCCAAGATGACCTGACCTGATGACGACTGAGACTCACCCTCAGGGGACCCTGAGGACCTGAGGACCCTGAGGACCTGAGGACCTGAGAGAGAAAAACTGGGGAGTGATGTTTATATTTTTGAAATCATACATTGATGAGTGCTAAATGAGAGAGATACTCATGATTCTTTCTTTTGTTTTTGTTTGTCCCTAGCTTCTGGACATCTGATGATCTATTGGACACAGCCATTTGCAGAACAAGAACCAGCCAATGAAAACGTCTATTGCCGATGCTATTGCTACAACCAGAACCTGTGACAAATGCAATATACATGTTAAGTATTCAGACATCTGACAGACAAAAACTTTGAAAATGATAAAGTATGAGTATTGTAGCGTTTTAGTAGATGTTAAATAGTAGTAAAAGAGTAGAATTTGACTTCCTTTGTTGTTCATAAACACATTTCCACGTAAGAGTTAAAATAGTACCCTACAATGTTATCCTTTTGATAGATCAGCTAGAATATTAGAATCAGAGTTATGTTAGAGATATTAAAAGTGACAGAAGTCACAAATTAGGAATATGCCTTTGCTCAAGCTGCAGCCAAACTTTGGAGTCACAATAGTGTAAAAATAGAGATAGATAAATGCATCAACCATAGATGCTTTCAGAAATAGAGAATATTTGTAGCCAGTGCTAATATCAAATGGTAAAGGGACCATTTCACAAACCTTTGCTTCAAAAGTAGATAAAGTTCATATGAGTGTAGCCTAGATTAATGCCTAGATCAATGAGATAGATTAGAACCAACAGAGATTCAAAAGCATTTAAAAGCCTTTTGATGTATTTGGGTGTAGCCCAAAAACAGTATAGTAGATATTTAGATATTGAGAAGTTTCCAGCACAAACACCATTGTAGAATAACTGACCCCAACCCCAAACCTAATTAGCTACTATTAGGATAATACTAATTTGATTAATGATGTACATTCATCCCAAACTGCCTGACAATAATATCTTTAGATAATAAAAAGTAATAAATCACTGACCACTATAGAAGTGTAAATGTTGACCATTTGTCTTACTGTGTTCACAGTTTTATTCCTGAGAATGTAGAAGAGAGATAGAGCAAAATCCCACTAATAATATGCCACTGATAATGAAAGTAAACCACAGAGAGATTTGTTAGATTAAAATGTATGTTTAAGAATATGGCTCAATAGAAGCAAATATGCAAACATATTTGTAAATAGATTAGAATAGTTTTAAACTATAGTGAATAGTGAAAGTAAAGTACACAATCTAAGATTGAAAAGTGAAAATAATACAGTGAAATAAGTGAAGTGTAGTGTAAACAATTAGCATTAGAATAAAAGTATAGAGTAAGAAAAGTGAAATTAGCTTCAAATTTGAGACTCAGCTCGTTTTTGTCTGTGTTTTGACTGAATCTGCTGAGTTCTACTGTGTCCAATAGTGTTTGTTTGTTTTTATTTTTGATTTGTTTTTGTTGTTTTTTGTTTATTTATTTACTTTATTTTTGATTTGTTTGTTTATTTTTTTTATTTTTTCCCAGGATAGAGGATAAAATCCACTGATATTGATTTGATGATTATGAGTTTAATGCATACATTTTCTTTGTTTTTAATAATTTTTTAAAGTTTTTTTTAGGATTTTTTTTTTTTTCTTTTTCCACTTTATTGATTGGTCGATTTGAGTGATCACATGTGATTATGTGATCAAAGGGGAGGGTATTAGTATTAGATAGCAATATGGCCTACGTGCAGGACTGTACAAGGACTCCATGTTATGACTATGATGTGACTGTCTCTTTGTGACACGTATGTCTTTCGATGTGTGACGTGACAATGACTATATAAACTGTGTACTGCCTTTATTCTGTCTGAGAGAAAGAAACAGAGTAAACCAGTGGAACTTGAGAGAAACTTAAATAAACTTCCAGAGTTTGGCACACCACGATCCGTCTCTGTCTGCTTGAATCCTAACAAACCGCGATAAACAGAGAAAACAGTTCGATAGCACCACACAGGCGTCTCCTACTGTGAGCTATGGGCTTTTTCGTCCTTCAAGAGAGGCTCGCCTAACCGTGCTGCTCTGTCAAATAAAACAAAAATATGCAATTTCAAGTTATAAATAAATTAAATAAGGCAAATTTAGGACGACAGTGGCTCAGTAGGTAGAGCATCGACCTTTGAGCCTGAAGGTCGTGGGTTCGAGCCCACCATAAGACCTACTTCACGACTCACACTGATGACTGCTGTCGTTGTGTCCTTGGGCAAGACACTACACCCCGAAGCCCCTGCTGAAAGATCTCAGCTCCTGTGGACTCACCACCTGCAGGAGGATCAGTGAGGGGCTGGTGCTATGTGTACTGGGTGTACAGTAGCTCTGACTGCCACCCCCCTGACCCAGAAATGGATTAAGGGGAAGAAAATGGATGGATGGATAAGGTAAAGTTACATTATAATAATGCAATAGCAGAAATCACTTGATATAGTGACCACGTATTATTCTTTTTGTCTTTCCATGATCTTAGGTGAGGCCGGCCCCACCTGCCTCATCTCGTCACTGGATCAGAGCATATATTTGGAGAGGTCTTAGGCTCTGTTTATACAAAGAGTAACATCACCATAATGTCAGCCTTAATGAGGAAGAGACCAATCAGAGCTAACCTGAACTATTTGAGCAGGAATGTGGAGCCAAACATATGCAAATGTTGGTAGCAACAGCTGGGTTACCAAGAGCCAATCAGGAGGGGCATCTGTCTGTCCTCACTCATGCTTCGCACTACTAAAGCCAATTTTGGCAACAGAAGGCCCCTGATGGGTCAGTTGTTTAGGGTCATATCTGGATATGAATATAAATACAGACATCACAGAGAGTGATAAACCACAGATTTAAACCCAAAATGGAGAGTGTGACACAAATGGTTATCGATCTAAAATAGTTTATTTTACATGTAAGTCAAAGGATGCCACAACGAGTTGTAGCCAAACATTGTCCATGAGTACTTCCCTTTTGGGCTTCATTGAGTTAGCAGATTAGTATTGATAGTATTTACTATTTTCCTGAACTATTCTACTCTATTAACTATTTTCATATCAAGAGAGAGACCAGAGAGAGAGATATTAGAGACAGACCAGAGAGAGGGAGACCAGATATAGAGATACTAGAGTGAGACCAGAGAGAGGGAGACCAGCAAGAGAGAGACCAGAGAGAGACTAGAGAGAGACCAGAGAGAGACTACAGAGTGAGACTAGTAAGAGACAGAGAGACTGAGACTAGAGTGAGACTAGTGAAAAAGAGCCCATAGAGAGGGACAAGAGGGAGACCAGAGAGATAGAGACCAGCGAGACAGAGCCCAGAGAAAGAGATACTAGAGAGAGACCAGAGAGAGTGAGAAAAGCGAAAGAAAATGCCCAGAGCGACCAGATAAGGAGAGACCAGGAAGAGATAGGGGGAGACCAGAGAGAGAGAGAGATCAGAAAGAGACTAGAGATAGAGTAGAGAGAGACTACACACCAGCCCTTTGTTGACTCCCCTGATTTAAATATTTAAATTTTATTATCCTGATTATAAAGGTCCTCACCTGTCTGTAAACTCAACAGCAAAGCAGATTGAGAAGTACTGTCCAAGGTTCTGGTGTTGTGGTGTGTATGTGATGGAGAACTCGTCCCCTGACCTTCTGTGCTTCGAGACGTTCAGGGGGCCACTCATTATCAGGTTATCCACTCTGGCGATCAAAAACATAAGACTACACATTACAAATACATTCACATAATGATAATAACATCAATAGTTATGTTAATTTTGTCTTACACTGAATATTTGGCTTCAGCCCTCACGGTTATCTCCACCTCTACTCCGACTTCTGCCCACAGGACCTGACCATGTCGGGGGGTCGGGGGGACAAACATGGGCAAGTATTCTCCTTCCACACAAGATGGAGCCGGCGGGTCCACTGAAAGAACAAGGAAGCACTTTATTCATAAAGCCCAGTTATCACAAGGCTTTTCTGGCACGACTTTACTTTATGAAATGCATTGTCCCACGGTCAGTGAGGATTCCAACACTGAACTATCGGTTCATCACTCCTGGCTTCTCTTTCTGGTGTCTCTCTCTCTTCAATTTCTGGTGTCTCTCTGGACTCTCTGTCTGGACTCTAGTCTCTCTCTGATCTCTCTCTCCGGATTCTGCTCTCTCTCTGGTCTTTTCTGGTCTCACTCTGGTCTCACTCTGGTCTCTCTTTGGTGTCTCTCTCTGGACACTGCTCTCTGTATGTTCTCTCTCTCTGGACTCTAGTCTCTCTCAGGTCTCTCTCCGGACTCTGCTCTCTCTCTGGTCACTCACCTTGAAAAGTGAATTGCAGTGGAAGTTGACTGAAGGGAACTCCCCAGGAAGGCAATGGGATGTGAGAGTACGGTGAAGACTGAGGCAAACCCGTCTGAGGGTATGGTGAAGACCTGGACCTCAGCGTGGAGGTCGAGGTCGCTGCAGTGCGAGACGTGACGTGACTCAACAGTATCGGAGTTGTACGAGTAGTTGTAGTTGTATTTGATAGAGACGGCCTTAATGTCAGCATGGGAGAGGGAGTACCAGCAGCAGCAGTAGACCAATTTGGAGTAGAGCCAATAGTAGTAGTACTAGCAGAAGCAGCAGCAGCAGTAGCAGTAGCAGCAGCAAGAGTGGTAGTAGGCCAAATAGGAGTCGCAGCAGTAGTAGCAGTAGTAGTAGTGGTAGTAGTAGCGGCAGCAGTAGTATTAGGCCAAATAGAAGGAGTAGAAGTAGTAGCAGCAGCAACAGTGGTAGTAGGCCAAATAGGAGTTGCAGTAGTAGTAGTAGTAAGAGTAGCAGCAGTAGTAGTAGTAGTAGCAGTTGTAAGAAGAGCTTTAGTAGATGAAGGAGATAGGGGATAGGGCTGGTTAGTAGAATCTCCTGTACTTGTACTGGTAGTACGAGAGACCAGAGGATGGGAAGATATATTTGTGAAAAACATAGTATTAGTAGTTGTTGTAACTGTGGTTGGGAACAGAGCCATGAATCGTGCAGCGGTTGTGGAAGTGATGGCCGGTGCATTTACTGTTGTAGTATTTGTAGTAGGCAACAATGACACAAATCTTTTCTTTCGTTTGTTTACGACTTTTCTCAAAGAGCTGGATCCATCGGCGTAAAACAGAACGACATTGTGCCATGGGAAGTCCTCCACCACCAGCTCAAACCCAAAGACTCCTTGTTCACCAGATGCCTGGTACTTAAGTGTGCAGCTGGCCTTAGAAAAAAATTAAATATATGTGTTTATTAGAATTAACCAATGATACAAATGCTAACAATAAAGCCTTTTGTTGAAACATAAATCTGGGCTTCCTCAATAGTAGTAGTAGTAAGTAGTAATCTTTATTTATATACCGCCTTTTCACTGCACATCGGAGTCTCAAAGCGGTTTACAATTGTTATTTTTTATTTATTTTTTTGGGATTGGGGGTGCCAGTACAGGAGGCACATGTCAGACCTATTGTACATATTTTTAGTGGTAGGTAGGGGAAACCGGAGCACCCGGAGGAAACCTACGCAGACACGGGGAGAACATGCAAACTCCACTCAGAAAGGCCCTGGTCCAACCGGGATTCGAACCCAGGACCTTCTTGCTGAGAGGCGAGAGTGCTATCCACTCAGCCACCGTGCCGCCTATACATACATACAATACATTTTCCCATTGTCCAAACAGACCACAACCTGTTATCTTTGATGTAAGAAAGAGCTCTGTGCTTTTTTGGTCCTCTCTATTTTCACTTTTCTGTCTAAAAAGGTTGATCTAAGGATGTGACAGAGGTAAAATTATAGCTGGGGTGTGTACATTTTCCTGTTGCATTAACAGTTCATGTTGTGAACAAATCAAACAGATTTAATGACCCAGTCTCATCCCTGTTACAAATATAGTTGTGGTACTGTGTCCGTCTCCCTCACTCTGTAGTGACATGTTTATTAATCTCAATGCAGACCATTGCACTTTATTTTAATTGTTCAAACCACATACAGCCTGAGCCTCTACAGTATGTGCTTCCTCATACTCTAAAAATAACCGGGGAAAAAAACATGGGGCCGTTAAGGAGGCAACAATGCCTGGGCCGTTTTTGGTCCAGCCTTTCTTTTCTCTCTGGTCTCTCTCTCTTTTCTCCCTGGTCTCTCTTTGGTCTCTCTCTCTTCTCTCTATGGTCTCTCTCTTTGGGTTGTGCCTGGACACGACGCCTCACCTGGTCGAGCTGGAAACTATGATGTTGTGAACACTGGGAACACTCAGAGCTCCCCTCAGTCCCATATCGGCATGTGACCTGGTCTCCATCAGGGTCAAAGGTCAGCGGCCTGTACGCCCGTCTGCAGTTCTGAGGAATGCTGAAAACACCACAGATTAATGTGTGTCAGAGCAAGAACACATTTGGAAGAGCAGGACCAGCTCTACCCTGGGCCCCACTTAGGTCTCAAGGAGCTCCTCCTTTGCACGATCTTTGCTTCTTCTGAATAGTGTGAAGTCCAGACGAGCTTCTCTCCTGCATTTTGTGAATAACTAACATACTTATTTTTTAATTGAGACCCTACACCACAGTGTAGGGCGACAGTAGCTCAGTTGGTAGAGCATTGGCCTTTGGGCCTGCTGAAGGTCGTGGGTTCAAGCCCACCGTAAGACCTACTTCACGACTCCCACTGATGACTGCTTGTCATCCTGTTGTTGTGTCCTTGGGCAAGATACTTAACCCCACTTTACCTGAAGCCCCCGCTGAAAGATCAAGGCTCCTGGGGGCTCACCACCTGCAGGAGGATCAGTGAGAGGCTGGTGCTCTGTGCACTGGATGCAGCTCTGACTGCCACCCCCCCAACTCAGAAATGGATTAAGGGGAAGAAAATGGATGGATGGATGGACCCTACACCACAGGAGCATCATCTGGAGGTGGATCCCCCCTACTTTCTAAAGACACTTTTGTAATAAATCATTTTAAACTTTTAACTGTTGTGGTGATCAGAACCCGAAGGTTGACGTTGTTACATTCGTATTTAAACTTTATGAGCAATTCTTGGTTTGCTTTAGCTGCCATGAGAAGCGCATGCGCAGGTTTGCATTACTGTACATTATAAACAGCTGAGGCAGTGCATCTCGACAAAGCAGTGCAAACCAACGTTACACCAGCTTGGATGGGATGGGCTGCAGCAGGTAGCTGACCAGACGGAATTTCCAAGGGCTACAAGCTAGAAATGATATGATGTTGTTGTATACATGCACCGAAAGACAGAACGATCAGAGAGAGACTCGAGAGACAGACCGTCTGACTCTAAATAACAGTCATGTTATACTACATGATGTTGTTGGAGCACACTGCAAAAAAAACATAATTGCACACAAAATATACCACGATATAGCGAGGGACCAGTGTACATCAATATTGGTGGATATCGGTGCTTGGTAACCACTAAAAAAGTACATATTGATATAGAGATTTACCGCAGCAGAGGGAGGATGGCTGTATCTGGAGAGCTGTTGGCTTTGTCTGTGTCTGACCGTCGGCCCAAGTCCACAGATGTCAGAATGCTCCAGTATGGCGTGTGGCCTGGACTAAGCCATACCCAACAGCAGCTGTGGTCCCTGTAAAACAACAAGGCCGAGTTTAAAGACCTTGCTCTGAAATATGTTTCTGATCTTGTCTGACCTGATTTGGTCTGACCTGAAAAGGTGTCTTTCTCTGGTCTTTATCTGGTCCCTCTTTGTCTCTATGGTGTATCTCTCTGTTCCCTCTCTGAGGTCTCCCTGTTCTCTCTCTGATCTCTTTGCCCTCTCTTGCCACTTTTCTATAGTCACGGCACGGCTCGGCCGAGTGTGGGTGCTTTTTCATTAAAAATAGTACCTCTTCAGCGTGGGAGGGGTTGTCAGACCACGTCATTTATGCGCGACGTGTAACCAGTAACATTGGTGCGGTGCATGGCTTTATTATAATATTGGTGATAGCTGGTTATTACTTCCAGGTCCCTGCAGAACTGGCTCCTAAAACCTTTTCAGGACACCGGGCAAGTGACAGACGAACACCAAGTATTTAATAGAAGATTCAGCACAGCGCGAGTGGTTGTTGAAAATGCTTTCAGCAGTCCTAAAGGAATGACTCGGACACTGGACATGTGAAGTCAATGGTGCTGACTTGCTGTGCTCTGCACAATCTGTGCGAAAACCATGGAGAGACCATGTGACAGAATGGGACCCACCTGTAGCAACAGCAGCCTTTAGCAGTGGTGCAGATGAGGGTCTGATGCAAAACTTTGTCATATGACGACACTCATTGACCAATCAGTGTAAGGCAGTCGGCTGACATATCTGGTCTGTCTCTCTGCTCTCTCTCTGGTTTCTCTCTAGTCTATCATCTGTTCGCTCTGGACTTTCTTGGGCTGGTCTCTCTCTCTATGGTCACTCTCTGGTCTCGCTCTTTATCACTGCTGAAAGACCTCATTCACCTGTTGTGAAATTTTTTTTCAGATTCATTTTGTTTGCCATTTGCAGTAAAACCACATTGAAATACATTTGCAAAAGTACCCAGAGTGCACAAGACAGGTACATAGATAAAACGCCCTGACTCGGTGCCATCTTGCGATTTTTTATTCTTACCTGATCTGGAACGGTCTGTCGCTGGTGAGAGCTTTGGTGACAATAGTTTCAGTTTCACACCAGTTACTGTTGTAAGTCATCGTAACAGCGTTGTTGTCGACTTGACCTTGTTCTATTTGGACGTTATGGCCACACTCGCCGCGGTGACAGGTCGCGTAGTGGTGGTTGCATCCATGGTCATAGGTCGCCCTCGAACGTATCTCCACCTGCATCATATATCATATAAACTTAGCAGTGTTGACATTGTTTGTGTGTCTTCCGGAACTTCTCATAGAGACATGGATAGACCATAGACTGTATATTAGGAGTTACATCAATACCTATCTCTCTCTAGTCTCTCTCTCTGGTTTCCCTCTCTGGTCTCTCTCTCTGGTGTCTCTCTTCCTGGTGTCTCTCTATGCGCTCTCTCTGGTCTCTCTCTATTCTCTCTCTCTCCAGTCTCTCTCTCTGGTCTTTCTCTGCTATCTCTCTGGTCAAACTTACTGCATGAACTTTTCACCTACATCCTGGCTGTGAAAACTATAATCTTGCGTGTTTATATTTACCATATACTTCCCATGTGCATCTGATTTGGCCGTGAAGGTGACCACGGAGCCGAAGAAGTGCGATGCTGAGGCCAGAGAAAGGCTCAGCAGCAGCAGTGTGATGAAGACCATTGTGCCTCAACTCTCAGCGACGCACAGGCTTAAATACACCCTATGTTTATGTGGGACGGCCAGAACGGACAATTCAAATCCAAATCCGATCCCTCTATCATCAGGTAAGAATAAAACAGGGAGGACTATCAGTGAAATCATTACGTCTTTGGCTCCAAACCAGTCAGACCACACTGGTTTACACATTATGGGACATGTTTTAGAGATTATGATTGTAGTGTTGGTGTTTATTTTCAATTCTATTTAATGTACTTGTGTATACCATCCATCCATTTTCTTCTGCTTCCTCCGTTGCCGGGTTGCGGGGGCAGCAGTTTAAGCAGAGACGCCCAGACTTCCCTATCCACACACACTTATAATTGACACAGAATAATAATTTATGATACACCAATTGAGAAAGTCAAACAAAATGCTTTCTTAGGAGTTATTATAGATGATAAAATCAATTGGAAACCCCATAAAAGTTACCTGAGAACAAAGGTTGCTAAATGTGTGGGAATGATGAAGCGAGCAAGTCCTTCACTGAACACAAATGCCCTACTCTTGTTGTATCATTCATTCATTATGTCATATTTATTTTATTGTATTGAAGTTTGGGGAAACTGTTACAAGTCTCACTTACAGCCTTTATTCACTTTGCAAAAGAAGGCTATTAGGATTGTAACTAATGTTCACTATAGACATCTTTCACACCCATTATTTTTAGACTTAGGACAACTTAAACTTCAAGACTTGATTCAATTTAAAACTGCTCAAATAATGTTCAGGGCATCGCAAAACTCTCTCCCACCGAGTTTGCAAACGCTGTTCCATGATAGAGATGCTCACCATCAGTATCAACTAAGAGGAAACAAACAACTGTACTTACCTAAATTTAGAACGACTTTAAAATCAATGTGTATCTCAGTGTGTGGAGTTACTCTGTGGAACAGTCTATCTGATTAAATTAAAACGTGTTCAAACCTGATGCTATTTAAAAGAGTGTATAAAAAAGAAATAGTGAAGAATATGAAGGTTATTTTGTGTTTTTATTGTGGCAAGCTGGACTTGGCCACCATATTTGTGTCCACCAGATGGCGCATACGGGCAGTATAAATAGCATAGATTTACATCTATTGTTTACCTCTGCACTTCCGTCTCCTGTGTGTGTGTGTGTGTGTGTGTCGTCGCGCCAGCCCTCCTCCTGCTCCAGGTAGTAGTTTTAGTGTCAATTCTAATAATTGTAAGATTCAGCCACTAATGTTGAATTGTTGTTGTAGTGCCGCGGTGTGGCATTGTGCCCCGCGAGTCCTCTTTGTGCACGGCCACACTGTCCAGTCGCTTTGGTGTCTGGCCGCCCTCATTGCTGGGGTCCGAGTGCGTCGTAGCCGGCTGTTGGTCTGGGCCTGTAAACCGCTACTCGTCAAGAGTGCGCGCTCAGTGTTGGCTGTGGAAATGTAGGTCTTAGCTGCACACACTGACAGCATTGTGGTTATGATAATTTAACTCTACTTTAATTCGTAGGCTGAGGACTGGCCACACCGCGGCCCACCGCTGTTTCTCCTGCTGTCTCTCGTTTCTCACCATGTTGTATGTTTCTGTTGTGTGTTGTTCACCTGTACCCCTGAGTCCTTTGCGACAGGAAATGTGACAACGTGTGAAACCTAAAGAGAAAACTATCACAACTATATAAATCAAAGTAAACTTAATGTCTGTCTGCCTCTTTATGATTTACGAACCTGTGCGCCTTAGAGCGCTTTATATTTTATTTTGGGCACTTTGCCCTGGCGTTGCTGGTTTTTCTTTCTCATTTATATTTTCATATTATTTGAGGAGCGCGTAGCAGTCTCCACTTTGCCACATTATTATCAACATTTTTTTTGCTTTGGAATTCTATAAACTTTAACAAAAAAGTATTCAGTGTAAATAAATTCAATGTTTTAAAATTCAGTGTCAAAATATTCAATGTTTTAAAATTCAGTGTCAAAAAATTCAATGTTGAAAAAAATTCTGTGTCCAAAAATTCGTAGCATTTTTTTTGCTGCTTGAAATGTCATGCTTTATTTCCGGGTAAATCAAGACAGAAGCAATCGATCAGCCAATCCTAAATAGATGTAGCCAGGGCCAGAACAAGACTTTGGCTTTATCCGAATGTCCACACTATACCGTGCGGGACTATTGTGAGTGAGTGACTGAGTGAGTGGACTCATTCTGATGGCGATTCGGACGTTGCACACTATTATCAGGCCGCTCTTGTACGTGAGCGTCCCGCTGTAGCATGGATCACGGAGCGGAGAGAGGAGCGGCCATGACAAGGTAAAGGTAAAAGTTGAATTTACGTTTTAATTAGGACATAACATTTAATTGTATTAACATTGGAGGTGGGAAATAGCCCCTTCTATTGTTATATCAGAGGTCTGTTTGGTGATTAAACAGATTTTCTTTGGACTTTTTCTCCAGCCTTGAGCTCCAGTGCTAACACGCTAACCACGGGTGTAGAGCTGCGCTGATGCCCAGAATGGAGCGTCATGCACTGGGAGTCATTTTGAGAGCTCCCTTATGCTAACAGTCTTAATTGTGGAAGTCCATCCATCCATCCATTTTCTTCCGCTTTATCCGTTGCCGGGTCGCGGGGGCAGCAGTCTAAGCAGAGACGCCCAGACTTCCCTATCCACACACACCTCCTCCAGCTCGTCCGGGGGGACCCCAAGGCGTTCCCAGGCCAGCTGAGAGACACGTGTCCTAGGTCTTCCCCGGGGCCTCCTCCCGGTGGGACGTGCCCGGAGCACCTCCCCAGGGAGGCGTCCAGGAGGCATCCGGAACAGATGCCCGAGCCACCTCAACTGGTTCCTCTCGACGTGGAGAAGCAGCGGCTCTACCCCCCGAAGGACACCCCGGGGAACACAGTCGTACGCCTTCTCCAAATCCACAAATCACATGTGGACAGGTTGGGCGAACTCCCATGAACCCTCGAGTATCCGATGGAGAGTATAGAGCTGGTACAGTGTTCCGTGACCGGGACGAAAACCACACTGCTCCTCCTGAATCCGAGATTCGACCCTCGGCCGTAGCCTCCTCTCCAGTACCTTGGAGTAGACCTTACCGGGGAGGCTGAGGAGTATGATCCCACGATAATTGGAACACACCCTCCGGTCCCCCTTCTTGTAGAGAGGAACCACCACCCTGGTCTGCCACTCCATTGGCACCGCCCCCGATCGCCACGTGATGTTGCAGAGACGTGTCAGCCAAGACAGTCCTACAACATCCAGAGACTTTAGATAATCAGGACGGATCTCATCCACACCCGGAGCCTTGCCACCATGGAGGCTGCCAACCACCTTGGTGACCTCAACCAGGGAGATGGATGTATCCGCCCCAACATCCTCAACCTCTGCCTCTGTAACGGAGGACATGACGGGGGGATTGAGGAGAACCTCAAAGTATTCCTTCCACCGCCCGACAATATCCCCAGTCGAGGTCAGCAGCTCTCCACCCGCACCGTACATGGTGTTGGCAAAGAACTGCTTCCCCCTCCTGAGGCGCCGGATGGTTTGCCAGAATCTGCTGCTGCTGTTGTTGCTGTTGTTGCTGCTGCATATGTCTTCAGAAAATGAGAGATGTGTTCTAACTATCCATGACTTGTAATTAATAAAACAAATGAACATATTGGTCGTTGTAGTTTATATCGTGATCCACAGGAGCTGGAGGTGATGGAAATGGATGAAGAAATGATGGCCTCTGAAAGACAGCTGCCTCTGGAAAAGAAATTCACACAAAAAATCGGTTCTTCTGGGATTAAAATCAGCCTTTTTTTACAATCAGACATGTCGACATATATGTTCATATACATGTACTGTCCCAGTCAAATTAATTAATATAAATACACAGTATTAGAGTAGAAACAGACGCTCTAAGGAGGAGCAGAAGTACGATGCCTTTACACACACATGAACTTAACATGTCATATCAACAGTAAATGTAAATACATTCCCAGTCTTTAACAGGAGGCTGGTAGAGTGGGATTTACAAATATACTCAATTAAAACCATATCTATCAGTCTGATTCCTCTCTGTAGCATTAATATTGAATCCATGGGTTTGTTTTCTCCCTAAAGAACCGATCCTTCATTCCGTCTTGGTTTCACTAAGATGTCAAAATTTAAGAGTAAAGATAGAATAATTATCGTCTGCTCTGTCTCTAAAACAGTCCGCAGGTTTTGTCCTTGCTGCACTGCTAGAATAATATACACATTGAAATTGGGAACATAGTACATATGTCACACAAGAACCGCAAACCCCCATGTACTTGGCTTTCCTGCGGTTCATTTTAGCTTAGCATTAGCGAAGATCAGCTTTGGGGAATCGCCAAAACATAGAAGCCACCTACGCGGAGCTAGCTAATGATAAGCTAAGGTAAAAACATGTTCAGAAAGTACATACAGTAGTGGTTTGCGTGTTACATACCAACTAATGATGAGAAAACACGTTTGCTGTGGACGCCATGTTCAGATGAACAAGAGAAGTCTTGTTCTGGCCTGTGTGCGTGTGTGCGTGTGTGTGTGTGTGTATGTGTGTGTGCGTGCGTGCGTGCGTGCGCGTGCGAGAGAGTGAGTTGTCTTGTCTTATGGTAGTTACTGTATTGTTGTTACTGTATGTACTTTACAGGAAACATTTATATAATGTGATTGTGCATTTACCCAGTATGGTTTTGTTTCTGTCTTATTGTTTGTCCTGTGTCTGGGTGAGGGGGGTTTGGATTAATATAAGCATTTTGCTTCCTCCAACCCCTTTTCAATCCCTATACGTGTTTTTGCTTTTGTTGTTGTTTGTTGTTCCTGTAAAATTATGTGTGCAGTTTTCGAAATAAATATTTCATTCATTCATTCATTCACTTCCTCCAGCTCATCAGGGGGGACCCCAAGGCATTCTCAGGACAGCTGAGAGACAGCTTGTCCTGGGTCTTCCCCCGGGGTCTCCTTCCGGTGGGGAGGCGTCCAGGGGGCATCTGGAACAGATGCTCAAGCCACCTCTCAATGTGGAGAAGCAGCGGCTCTACTCCGAGCTCCTCCCGTGTGACTGAGATCCTCACCCTATCTCTAAAGGAGCACCCAGCCACTCTGTGGAGGAAGCTCATTTCGACCGCTTGTATCTGCGATCTCGTTCTTTGAGTCATTGCCCAAAGCTCATGACCATAGTTGAGGCAGCGTACAAAGATTGACCGGTGAATCAAGAGCTTTGCCTTTCGGCTCAGTTCCATCTTTACCACAACGATCCGATACAGCGACCACACCGATCCGCCTATCAAACTCACGCTCTATCCTTCCCTCACTCGTGAACAAGACCCTGAGGTACTTGAACTCCTCCACTTGAGGAAGGACCTCTCCACCGACCTGGAGAGGGCAAGGCACCTTTTTCCGGTCAAGCACCATGGCCTCAGATTTGGAGGTGATGATTCTCATCCCAGCTGCTTCACACTCGGCTGCGAACCGTCCCAGTGCATGTTGCAGGTTCTGGTTCGTTTGAGCCAACAGGACAACATCGTTCATAAACAGCAGGGATAAAATCCTGTGGTCTCCGAACCTGACCCCCTCCGGCCCCTGGCTGCATCTAGAACTTGAGCAGAAACGGTGACAACGGCAGCCTTGGTGGAGGCCAACATGCAGGTCTGACTTACTACCGGCAATGTGAAAACAGCTCTGGCTCCGGTCATACAGGGACCAGACGGCCTTCAGCAGAGGATCCCGGACCCTGTACTCCGTACTCCCGGAGAACCCCCCAAAGGACACCCCGGGGAACACGGTCAAACGCCTTCTCCAAATTCACAAATCACATGTGGACTGGTTGGGCGAACTCCCATGAACCCTCGAGTATCCGATGGAGAGTATAGAGCTGGTCCAGTTTTCCATGCCTGGGACAAAAACCACACTGCTCCTCCTGAATCCGAGATTCGAACATCGGCCGTAGCCTCTTTTCCAGTACCTTGCAGTAGACATTACCGGGGAGGCTGAGTAGTGTAATCCCGCCCTCCGGCCCCCCTTCTTGTAGAGGGGCCTCGTCACGTGCCCCACGCGGGAGAATAAGACCTACTGTATGCCGAGTGTCCTCCCCCCTCCCACGGCTTGGGTGCTTGGATCACTCTCTGGTTTGTCTATCTCCGTAATACACACCCATGGTGAGGAGGAACCCAGCGCAGAAGAAATACGTTGCAGTGTGGAGTGAAGAGGCTGAGGAGAGACTGAGGGACTGTTTTCAGATCACGGACTGCAATATGATCTGCAGCTCTCATGGTGATGACATCGAGAGCCTAACACTCTGCATAACAGACTACTGTATATTCTCTTCTGTGTGGCTAACACTGTACCGTCTAGGAAGGTACGGTGTGACCCCTGAGCTAAAGCCCTCCTGAAACTCACAAAAAGAGCTTTGATCTCAGGGGACAAAGAGGAGCAGAAGAGGATCCAGCACGAGCTCCAGTGGAGGATCAGGAGGGCCAAGAAGGACTATGTGAAAAAGCTGGAGCAGGAGCAGAGGCGTGTGGAGAGGCTTAAAGAAAATCTCCGGTTTCGGCCAGAGTGCCAGAGGGACAGCGGATGGAGACCAGCGCCGGGCGAATGATTTTAACCAATACTTCAACCGGTTCGATTCTCCCCCCTCTCCATCTGCCCCCAAACTAGAATACCGGTCGGTTATCATTGACTTTGACGACTGTTGTGAGTGCAAAAACTTGTGCTTGAACACCAGTAAGACCAAGGAGATGGTAATTGACTTCAGGGCTATGTTATTTCTCCGCTGCTCTTCTCCCTGTACACCAACCACTGCACCTTCAGCCACAACTCCTTTAAGCTCATCAAGTTCGCAGCTCTCCATCCATGGCTCAGCGGTAACACAGGTACACTCATATAAATACCTGGGAGTCCACATCGACTCAAGTCTGGTCTGGGATGTACACGTGAACTCTGTCTGCAGCAGGGTTCAACACAGACTCTATTTCCTGCGGAGATTAAGACTTTTTGGAGTTGAACAGAAAATAATGACGCTATTTTATCATGCTGTAATTGAGAGTGTAATAAGATATGGTATGTGTGTGTGGTTTGGGAATTTGACTGTTAAAACAAAAGCAGAACTTTACAGATTAGTGCGCACAGCCTTTAAAGTCATGGGAGTTAGGGAGCATCCATCTTTGCAGCAGATATTTGAGGAGACTGTAATTAGACAGGCCAGGAAAATCACCTCAGACCCCTCCCATGTCCTCCACTCTCAATATGAGCTCCTCCCATCAGGCCGCCGCTACAGAGTACCCACTAGAAATAAGAAACGATATCTAAACCGGTATAAGAACTCATTCCTACCCATATCTGTGACCCTTCTGAATGCAGGCCATCGAGCAGAGCGGTGATGGTTTATGTCGGTGTTACTGTGTTGTGTTTTATGTCTGTCTTATGTGTATTTTCAATGTAGCAGCTGTGAGTCCAAGACAAATTTCCTACGGGACATAATAAATTAATCTTGAATCTTGAATCTTGAGACGACAGCACCTCTTTGGACTCATCTCCAACAACGATGAGTCCGTCTACAGGAGGGAGGTAGACCGGCTGGTGTCCTGGTGCAGTGGTAACAACCTGGTGGTAACCCCAGAAGACAGTGGAGGTGATTTTGGACTTTAAGAAGTGCACTGTCCTTCCGCCCCACCCTCCCTGATGGACTCCTCCGTCACCAATGTGGAGTCCTTTTGTTTCCTGGGCACCACCATCACCCAGGACCTCAAGTGGGAGCCGACCATCAGCTCCCTCATCAAGAAGGCCCAGCTGAGTTCCGGTTCCGAGTCGAACATGGCAACACTGTAGACACGCACGTCCCCGTTAAAAAGTTAAAAATTCACCCCGTATGGCCCAAGCCTGAGGATAACACTGAGATTTAAAAGAAGATAACGAAAAGGGCTTGCGAAATGCCTGGAAGAAAAGTCAGAAAGAGCACTGGTATCGTCAAACAACGCCGTAATGAAGACGTCGGGCTAGTGGAGGAGCTAGCTGGCGCGGAGGAGCTAACTGGTTCAGAGGAGGAATTAGCGGAGGAGCTAACATCAGATACGGTGCGGGTTGGACAGAAAATGTCAGACTTGGATACCGTCCTGCGTGAGATAAGAGAATTCAGACGGGAAACGGTGGAGAGCCTGAACGCCATCAGGGAAGATATTATCCTACAAACTGTAGGATTGATGAGACTGAGAAACGGATTGGGGATACGGAGGAGCGTATCCAGTATATGGAGGAGGCGACATGTGAGCTCATTCAATTTTGCAAGAAGCTGAAAGAGAAACAAGTAGACCAGGAAGGAAGAGCCAGAAGAGACAACGTTCGATTACATGGGATTAAAGAGGGAGCAGAAAAGGATGCCGAGTCTGTGAGTGCATTTGTGGAAACTTTACTCAAAGAAAAGTTAGAGCTGCCAGTAGCATACGAACTCGGAGTGGAACGCGCACACAGATCACTAAGCCCTCGCCCAGCGGATGGTGTACCGCCGAGATCCATAATAGCAAAGCTTTCAAGCTACAAATGTAAAGAAGACATAATCAAGAAGGCATGGGAGAAAAAGGGGTTTGTCTTTGAAGGATGCAGGGTGTATATTGACCATGATTATGCTCCTGAAGTGATCAAGATGAGGAAGGAATATTCAGAGGCGAAGAAAGTACTGAGGGATAAAAAGATCAGATTCCATACGCCGTTTCCATCGAAGTTCCGTGTCTTTTATGAGGGAGAGACACGCCTATACAACTCAGCAGCAGAGGCTACAAGAGATATGGCAGACAGAGGACTTCAGGTTCGAGTTGTGAAAGCGGCAATAGATCCAATGGAAAATATCCAGCGTCGGATGTGGCATACCGCCCAGAGGGCAGGGCGACAGGACCAGGGGAAAACACTAGAGATGGGATTCAAGGAGAAGCTGCAGGCTTTTAGAAGATCCTCAGAGACTGTACAAGAGTAAGACAATCAAACTGGAAGGACAGCATATTGCAGAAGAATAAAGTGCACTTTAATGTTCTAGTGATGGGGAAATATTGTCAAGATGATACACGGGGAAATTGTTTAAAAACTTGACTCATGGAAAGGGCTGAAATAGGTCGAGAGGGCCCCCTGAAGGTCAGGGGTTTTCCCTCAGAGCTGGGAAAGAGCTCAAAGGTTGAAGAAGGTACAACCTCAGGTTTGGAATTCGTTTTAATTTTCTGTTTGTTCTCGTTCTTTTTTGTAGCACATGGGGTGGGAAAACAGGTTTGGAACAGTGTTTTAGTAAATGACGACACATAATAACGTGAAAGTGGCCTCTTTCAATGTTAATGGCCTTGGTAACCCAATTAAAAGAAGTAAAGTAATAAGTAAAATGAAGAAGGAAGGAGTCGGTATAGTTTTTTTACAGGAGACCCATTTAACAGTAAAAGAGCATGAAAAGTTGAAGAGGAATGGTTACAGTCAGGAATTCTCATCATCGTACGAGCCAGGCCAAAGGCGCGGGGTGTCAATACTGGTGTCAAGGAGGGTCACTTTTGAGATGCTGAAAATAATCAAGGACAAAGAGGGTCGGTATGTTTTGGTGACAGGCAGATTGGAGGGGGAATTAGTCACATTATTGAATGTTTATGCTCCTCCAGGATCAGACTGGGATTTTTTTAGACATATTTTTGAATTGGTAACAACTGAAGGAGAGGGAACATTGATTGGAGGAGGGGATTTGAATCAAAGGCTCAATGCATATTTAGACTCATCAGGACAAACACAACAAAATACTGTTGGCAAAAGAATAAGGAAACTGATCTCACAGCTAGGGATTCTAGACATATGGAGGGAGCTAAACCCATCTAAAAAGGACTATACCTACTTCTCTGTACCACACTCTTCGTACTCAAGGATCGATTATTTTTTAATTTATGGGAAGGATAGGTACAAAATAGATAGCTGTGAGATTGGTGTAATGGACTTATCTGATCACTGTCCTTTACATTTAACTATGGCCTTGGGAACAGAAAGGAAAAGAACAGTATGGCGATTGAACTCAAATTTGCTTCAAGGTCAAATGAAGGAGGAGATAGGAAAAGAGATTTGTGAATATGTAGAACAAAATGATAATGGGGAGGTTTCTCCATCAGTATTGTGGGATGCATGTACAGTAAGGCTGTTATGAGAGGGAAACTGATAGCAAGATCGGCATACAGAAAGAAAAAGAAACCGGAATTGCTTGAGAGATTACAGACAGATTTAAAAAGATTGGAAAGACAACATAAAATCACAGTAGATGGTACAATTTTGGAGGAAATAAAAAGAACAAAAGCAGATATTAATAATATCTTAGCACAAGAAATTCAAAAGAAAATGATTTATACTAAACAAAGATATTACGAAGCCGGGAGTAAAGCAGCAAAATTACTGGCTTACAGGCTTAAAAAACAAGAATCTGGCAGACATGTTTACAAATTGAAGGATCCCCAGACAAATTCCATGGTATACAGGACTGATGAAATTCATAAGTGTTTTGAGTTCTTCTATGACAAGTTGTACTCTGAGAATTGTACCAGCAATGAATCCCAGATCGATAACTTTTTAGACAGTCTAAATTTGCCACGGATAACAGAAGATCAAAATAAGAATCTGATAGCAGACATAACAACGAAAGAAATTAACCTGGCAATTTCTAAACTTAAAAATAATAAAAGCCCAGGGGCAGATGGGTACATTGCTGAATGGTACAAACTTTATAGGACAACATTGATACCACTGTTACACAAAACATTTAATTGGATCTTGAAGGGAGGAGCTATTCCTGTTTCGTGAGGCAATCATTTCTGTCATTGCCAAAGAGGGTAAAGATGGAACAAATTGTGCAAATTATAGGCCTATAAGTGTTCTCAACATAGACTACAGATTGTTCACAGCTATTCTGGCACGACGCATGGAAAACATTTTACCAGACATTATTAGTCTAGATCAAACAGGTTTTATTAAACATAGACAAACTCATGATAATATTCGTAGGACGTTGCATATTATGCAACATATTGATGACGAGAAAGTGGAAGCAGTGATAATGGGAATGGACGCGGAGAAAGCTTTTGACTCAGTCAGGTGGGACTTCCTGTACAGAGTAATGAAGAGGTTTAACTTCCACGAGAGGTATATTGGAATGGTCCAGGCGCTGTACACGGGTCCTATAGCAAGAATCAAGGTTAATGGAAGCTTATCCGACAGTATCAAATTAGAGAGGGGGTGCCGTCAGGGGTGCTCAGTGAGTCCCCTGCTATTTGCCATCTTTCTGGAACCTCTAAACCAGTATATAAAACAAAATGATAGCATTAAGGGGGTTGTGGTGGCGGGAGTGGAAGAAAAAGCGGCCTTTTTTGCTGACGACATTGTGATATATTTGTGGAAGCCAGACTCATCACTGCCGGTGCTGATGACATCCTTTGAGGAGTTTGGGAAAATGTCAAGGTACAAGGTCAATGGGCCTCATTCACGAATAACTTCGTAAGAAACTACTCAACTTTCTTCTCAAGTTGTCCTTAAGTAGATTTCTAAGAAGTCCCCACGTGGGATTCATCAACGCACTCGTAAGCCGCTGAATTGTTCGCAGCTGTTCTCTCAGATTGATGAATCCCATTTCCTCGTAAGTACAGCGCGCGTGCCCGGTGCTTCATTACCATAGGTACTTAGCATAAGTAACCGCCCACTAATGCCCATATAAGGGACTGCAGGGCCGTGTGCAGACGCCAGAGGAAACAGCAACAGGCCTAAAGCAGGCTTTTGCCAGACTGAGAATAAAGTTATAAAATGTTGACTTAAAAGTCGAAATATTATGATTATAAAGTCGAACTAGCAAAATTATGAGATTAATCTAAGAATATGATGAGATTAATCTCAAAATGTTATGAGCTTAATTTAAAAATATATTATGTATTATTTTAAAGATGAATCTCAAAATGTTTTGAGATTAATCTCAAAATATTTTGGACCCTGGGAGGAGATCCAGCGCGGACCAGCGCTGAGACCAATGCAGACCCGAGGAGAGACTGGAGTGACCAGCACACAGAAACCAGCGCGGACAGGAGAGACCGCATAGACTGGAGACACCTGACTGGAGAGACCGGTGCGCAGAGACCAGCGCGGACCGAAGAGAGACCGCATAGACCAGACTTGAGAGACCAGCGCGGACCCGTATGGATCCATGGGAGAGACCAGCGCAGACCCGTATAGATCCATGGGAGACACCAGCGCAGACCCGTATAGATCCATGGGAGAGACCAGTGCAGACCCGTATAGATCCATAGGAGAGACCAGCGCAGAGACTCAGCGCGGACCCAGTAACCTCCTGCAGCAGCAGTATATATGCCGTTGTTCTGTGGCCCGTGGATAAAGAAATGCCCCCTATAAATAGGAAGGGGTCACTAATACACGGCAAGATTTCCAATGTATTTGATAAAGCGTTGGCACATTTCATTTCAAAATGAATTAAAAAGTAGGCCAGATCTGCAGTGAAAAAGGCGGTATATAAATAAAGATTACTAATAAAGATTACTACAAATAAATAAATACATACATCGATATGACGGACATATCACTGGAATGTTGTATTTTTATTCAACTTCACCAAAGAGGACAACCCCGGCGTGTGAACATGTCGGCACTGAATGCGTACGAGTGCTCCTGAGGACTCGTAGGATTTGTACTTGCCCAAGTGAAATTCTGGTTACGAGAAATATTCGTGAATGCCACTTTCTTCGTAAAAACCGCGTAAGTAGGATTTACGTACAAATCTGTTCCTAAGAACCGTTCGTGAATGAGGCCCAATGTCCTTACATTGAAATCTTCTAATTATGACCGAATTATATCAAATATAAAAATGGACCTGGAAAGATGGAACTTAGTACCATATTTGAGTCTGGTATCAAGAATTGAAGTGATTAAAATGAACATTCTGCCCCGTATGTTGTATCTGTTCCAAAACCTGCCTATAGAGGTGTCTGAAAAAGAATTTAAAGAATGGGATAAAATCATTTCGAGATTTATTTGGCAAGGATCTAAACCTAGAATAAGATAAAGGACATTCCAATTACCTAAGAGGGATGGGGGGCTATCCCTACCTTGCCTAAAAAATAATTTCCAGGCTGCACAATTGAGGATTCTGATCAACTTATGGGACCCTGAGTATTCCGCAAAGTGGAAAGATATTGAACAAAGATTGATGGGGGAGATACCGTTACAATGTATATTAAGTGATGAAACATTAACGACCCATCTGAAATTGAAAATAAACCCATGGTTGGGGGTACCGGTTAAAATCTGGACTGGAATAATGAAGAAGTATCATTTGACAAAGTATAATAGGTATTTGAGGTGGATCGCCTATGATGTAGACTTCACACCTAACAAATTAGATGCCAGATTCAAATTGTGGGATAATGGGCCAAAAATGCATTGGGAAGTTTTAAAAGATAGAAGGGTAATTTGTTTCCAGAAAATGAAAGATGATTATGGCCGCCAGAACCATGATTTCCATAGGTATTTACAGTTACGACACTATTTGGGAGATAACATTAAAAAGATGCTTTAGAATCTTGGCCAGGTATAATTAAAGTGATGATGGATGCATATGGATCACAATCCGGGAGCAGAGTTATCTCTAAACTATACAGGATTCTGGAGGACCTAAAATCTGATGACACTGTATATGTAAAAGAGAAGTGGGAAAGGGAGGCAAATATAGTCATATCAGTAGAAGAATGGGTGGACATGAATCAATATCAGTGGAAAACCACAAATTCATTATCATGGCGAGAATACGGGTGGAAGAATACAGTAAGGTTTTTTGCTACTCCTGCTCAGAGAAAAAATGGAGAAACAAAATGTTGGAGGTCTTGTGGTGAAACAAAAGCAGCTCACTTCCACATCTTCTGGGGATGCTCCCTCATAAAACAATTTTGGATAGATTTGAAAGTGGCAATAGAGGAAGTGGTAGAAGTTAAAATTCCAACCAGTTTTGAAATTGTGTATTTGGGGAAAACAGAAAATTTGAATTTTAAAAGAAGAAATGACTACAAAATGTTTCGAATAATGCTTTTGGCCAGTAAAAAATATATTACCAGGAGATGGCGAGGTGATCTGATTCCTACTGTGGAAGAATGGACTGATGTAATGTTGAACATATATAATATGGAAAAAATAACAGCGTCTGTCAGGGTGGAGGTGGACAACTTTAATAAAGTCTGGGAGAGATGGTTAAAATATGTTCGGCAACATAGGACAGATTTTGTATAAAAAACAATTGGGGAGGTCATTAGATTGAGAGATGTGCATTCACTTAACAAGAATTATTTCATAAAATAAGTTAATACGCCCTGTTTTTAAGCTACTTTTATTTTTGTATTTTGTGTTTATTTTGTGTTCTTTTACGATTAAGGAAAAATATTGTCATTTGAATACATGTTCAAGGATAGATTGTTAGGCTAAGCATCGTTATTTTTTTATGTATATGAGCCTTGCTATTTGAAATTGTAAACTGTGATGACAATAAAAAGAAAATTATAAAAAAAAAAAAAGAAGGCCCAGCTGAGGATATACTTCCTGCGGAAGCTCAGGAAAGCCAAGCTGCCTGCACAGATGTTGGTGCAGTTCTACACGGCCATCATCGAGTCCATCCTCACCTTCTCCATCACCGTGTGGTTTGCTCGAGCCAGTCAGCGACAAGCAGAGACAACAGCGAATTGTGCGCTCTTTTTTGATCCTTCAATGTTGGCTCTTCCTATCATTGTGAAGCAGAATTCACCAAGCGTTGGATTGTTCACCCACTAATAGGGACATGAGCTGGGTTTAGACCGTCATGAGACAGGTTAGTTTTACCCTACTGAAGTGATGATGTGTTGTTGCAATAGTAATCCTGAGAAAGTGATCGGCCGCAGCCTCCCATCGCTGCAGGACCTGTAAGTCGCCCAAGCTCGAAGCCGGGCTGGTCATATCACTGCTGACTCGTCTCACTCTACACATGGACTGTTCCAACCTCTCCCCTCGGGCAGGAGACTACGGTCCATCAGGACCAAAACCTCCCGCCATAAGAACAGTTTCTTCCCCTCTGCTGTTGGACTCTTGAACACTCATAACCTGTCCCCCACCCTTTATAAGTCACCTTACTGCCCTTTATAAAGTCACCTTAGTGCCCTTTATAATGTCACTTTAGTGCCCATCATAACATCGCTTTACTGCACCATGTGCACTTGTATATTGTATACATTAATTGTAATCGTAATAATTCTATTTAAAATGTTATACCTTAGAATTGTATGCTGATTTTAATTATGCCTTACACTATTCTCTATTCTTTACTTCTCTTTTCTGACTGATGCACGAGCCAAAGCAATTTCCTAGTCTCTGACTTCCTGTTACTTACATGGCAATCAAAAAAGATTCTAATTCTGATTATGACTGAGGCACCTGGTGTTCCCAGAGGTCTCCCATCACAGTACTAACCAGGCCATGCCCTGGGTAGCATCTGGTCTGACAGGATCTGGCATTCACATGCAAGTGTGGCCACATATCAAAGCAACAGTTGTCTCGGAAGACTTTACAAAGTTGTAGATTCACCAACAACAGATCAGAGAATTAAACAGTTTGAACCCAGAAAATGCATTAATAATAAACATATAGGAGCCATTTCTCCAGATCATCTCTGTCTTTAGACCCTAAAGCATCGGCAAGAAACCACTCAGAAACCCAGAGGGGAAAAAAGTGAAACCTCAGGAAGGACCAGAGAGAAGGATTCGCTCCGATGGATGGACAGGCTGTAGATACAGGACTGAGGCTTCCTTTTCTCAGTCCTGGATCTGCAGCCTCAGTTGTCCCGCTTCCTATGGACCAATGGCTCCCATGCATTTGTTATTTTTTCATTTCCTGTGTTTTTAACAGTTTGATTCTTTGATTTGTTGTTGGTGAATTCACAATGTTGTAAAGTCCTCTGAGACAACTGCAGTCGTGATTTAGGACAAATACACAAATACAGTGAATTGAATTGTTTGCGATAGACCCAAACACAGTTCCTTAGAATGGAGAATTCATTAGTTTCACATTAGTTTGTTCTTTCTGGCCTTTGTCTGGTCTCATTGTTCCTCCTGTTGAAATATCAAATTTTTTGTCGTGTGACCATGTGATTAAGAGCCGTGAGAACTGCAGCAGCTAATGCTGGTTTTGTCTATAACCGGGAAATGTGGAAAAAGCACAATGTGTAAATCTTAGCCCTCAGATAAAGTTTCCTCAGAACATTTCCTCTTCAGTGGTAATTACAGTTTTCTTTTGCAGGTGTGTGGGAGAGCGTGAGGTTTTTGTTTTTGAAATCCAATCCACACCAATAAGAAAGTGCTTTTTGTGAATATTTCTGCATCTTTATGGTTTTACAGTGTGCTTCTTGTGAGAGAGGGTCTGGACCAGTCTGGACCCAACGACTGAGCTACTAAGACCCAATCAGGGGGGTTACTGGCCGGTCCCCACTCACGCTAGCTAGGCACAATAGGAACTTGAGTAGGTCAGTTTTTAGAGGACATATCTGTATTTAAAAAGACAATATCACAATAAAAAAACCATCTCCATCTACCTCTGTCTTGATTCACCCAAACCACTGATTTCCATTGATTGACTTGCTCAGTAACGGTTTGTGTCACACTCACCATTTTGGGCGTAAATCTGTAGTTTAGCACTCTCTGTGATCCTGGTGTTTATATTGTGATATTGTCTTTGTAAATATGAGCCATATAAGGATAGGCCAATCAGAGGCCTTCATTTGCGGGGGTAAACTCCAGCTTGCCTTTGCAACTGATCTGTTCCTGTTAAAGCGCAAAGCTAACGCTGTGTAACAAATGCCCGTATAAGGAAACTAGCTCCAGCTATCTTATGTTCAAATCAGCCTCTTATGCAGTAAGGCTAACACCTTGGTGATGTCACACTATGAAGATGTCACATTCGGTCAGTCCACTCCTGCTACAGTCTACGGCTAAACCACAGATTTTTAAGCCAGTATGGTGAGTGTGACACAAACAGTTGCGGAGCTCGAGGAGTTGAAGTGAAAAAACAGTCAATTTCCTCATAGACCAGAGAGAGAGAGATCAAAAAGAGACCAGAGAGACTGGAGAACGTCCTCTGAATTTATCACCATTGTGCACTGTTGAAAGACCACACGGAGGGAATACTTTATAAACCGAGTTCTGTTTATTAGCTTCACTCGTACAGCTCTAAGTATCCGGCGTCATAGCATAGAATGAATACCCTGCCACTTGCGCATGTGCAGTAAAACAATCACAAGTACGGTGGCTACAGAGGCACATTAAACTTCAAGCGAGCATTGGGTGAATGCTCTACATCCCCTTTCTTTAGCTTCCAGTACCATCAACAACAAATAACCATACTCGATTTGAACATCAAAACTTCAATGTTTAGGCTGACTGAAACGTGGACATAATAACGAATGTATCAAAGAAAGGCTTGACATCTTTTTTTTTTTTTTTTTTCTTTTACTGCAATGTGTAGTACTAAATATACATGGTCCATCAAGTCCGTTCACAACCCAATAATCAGTCTTTGTATTTGGGGTTTGCTCTGACTGTACGACCAAAACGTGTTGTGTATGGGCTCTTGCCAGCGTGGACGGGAGAGTTAGCTACGGGTACCTGGACCAGCGGTGGTACAGTGTCCATGGGATCCCGTTGTTCCTCCCTGTAGATGGGAGGTGTTTCACCGGCAGCTGGGTTGAAGGGCTGCAGGTCGACAGTGTCAGGTTGATGTGGAGATCGCTCGGCGACGGGCAGGAGGTGTCTGCGGTTTCTCCTGTAGTCTCTGCCTCCAGACTGGATGATGTAAGACCGCGGCTCTTCACAGATCTTTCCTACTGTGCCCATGCGATCATAACCCCGGGGGGTCTGCATCCGGACCGCTTCGCCTTCCAGCAGTGGACGAAGAGGACGGCTGGACTTGTCATAGCTCAGCTTCTGGGAGAGCCTCTTCTTCTGGAGCTGGGCTGTGACTTGTTTGGTGTTGAGGGATGCTGGTTGCAATAGCTGTGTCTGCTGACTGGGAGGGTGGTACGGGTCTGCCTTGACATTAGTCTCTGTGCAGGTGAGCCCAGCTGTGCATCGCGAGGGATGTTCCTCATGTTCAAGAGGTTGAGGAACACATCAGTACCATCCCGTTTTGATTTCTCCATCAGTTGCTTGGCACTTTGCACTGCTCTTTCAGCCAAACCGTTGCACTGTGGGAATTCAGGACTGCTGGTTATATGCTTGAAATCCCACTGTGTAGCAAAATCTTTGAACTTCTGGCTGGTGTATTGTCTGGCATTGTCCGAGATGAGGAGATGTGGGCAGCCATGCACAGAGAAGTGTCTTTTCAACTTTGTGAGGACTGTTGCTGAGGTGATGTCCTTGAGAAGGTCGATCTCATACCAGCCAGAGTACGAGTCTACAAGCACCTGAAAATGCTTGCCATCCCATTCGAAAATGTCAGTTGCTACTGTAGACCATGGTAGGTCCGGAACTGGGTGTGACTGTAGTGGTTCTCTCTGCTGATGGGGCTTCTGACTGTTACAAACAGAGCATGAGAGTACCGCTCTGTCGATGTCACTGCTCATGGTGGGCCAGAACACTATGTCCCGGGCTCTGCGTTTGGTGGACTCCGCTCCTGGATGTCCTCTGTGCACGATGCTAGTGTACGCTTTTTGCAGTGACTGGGGAACGACAAGTCTGTGACCTTTCATGACGACACCCTCCTCGATGGTGAGCTCATCTCTGAATGGAAAAAAAAAACTGATGGATGGTGGAGCATTATGCTGTTTGACGGGCCATCCATGTGTGATGACAGAAGAGAGGATTTGCAGTAGTCCGTCTTCTGCTGTGTGCCTCTTTAGTTCGTCTAAACGGCTGGATGAGACTCGGCTGACTGACATGACCTCAAAGTCGTTCAGCTCGTTTACATGTTGTAGTGTGGACGCTCTGGGTGCGCGTGACAGGGTATCGGCCAGGTACATATGTTTACCTTTTTTGTAGACCAGGTCAATGTTATACTTCTCTGTAGCTGCAGCATCATGCGTTGCAGTCGTGCAGGCGCTGTGTAGATGGGCTTTCTGATGATGGTGACCAGCGGTTGATGGTCTGTCTCTATGGTGACGGGCTTCCCGTAGATGTAGTCATTGAAACGCGAACACGCAAACACAACCGCCAGGAGCTCTTTCTCGATTTGGGCATAGCGTGTCTCGGTCTCGGTCATTGTCCTAGATGCGTAGGCTATTGGTCTGCCCCCTTGTAAACACGCTGCTCCCAGTCCGTGTTGGGAAGCGTCACACGTGAGTGTGACAGGTTGGTCAACATTGTAGTATGACAAGACGGGCGGACTGGAGATGCACCTCCTCAATGTGTCATATGCATCTTGGTGTTGCTTCAGCCAGCACCACGCTGTGTCTTTGCGTGTCAGCTGGTTGAGAGGGGCAGTTAACTTACTCAAGTTTGGTACGAACTTCCCCAGGTAGTTCACCATGCCTAGAAATCGTTGTAGAGCTGTCACATCTCCGGGAACAGGCATTTCAGTAATCGCAGTGGTCTTATCGGGATCCGCTTTCAGGCCTTCACTGGTGAACACATGACCGACGTAGGTGACCTCCGTCAGCCGGAACTTGCATTTCAGGGGGTTGAGTCTCAGATTGACTTTGCGCGCACGGTCAAGCACTCTCTTTAAGTTAGCGTCGTGCTCCGCTTCCGTGCGGCCTCCGACAATTATGTCGTCGACAATGATAGCACAGGGGTACCCTGCGAATATCTGTTCCATTGTGCGCTGGAATACTTCACTGGCTGAGTTTATTCCGAACGGCATTCTGAGGAACCTGTAGCGTCCAAAGGGTGTGCTAAATGTGGTCAGCAGTGAAGACTTACTGTCCAGGGAGATCTGCCAAAACGAGCTTTTGGCATCCAATACTGAGAATAGCGTCGCGTTGGCCATCTGTGAAGCAACCTCTTCGACCGTGCGCATCGGATGGTGGGGGCGCTTTAAGGCTGTGTTTAAATCTCTGGGGTCAATGCAGATCCTTATATCCTTTGCTTGCTTCTTGTTTGTTGCTACCATGGATGACACCCATTCAGTTGGCTCTGACACGGGAACGATGACACCCAGGTCTGCCATTCTCTCTAGCTCCGCTTTCACTCTGTCCTGCATGGCTACAGGGATGCGGCGTGCTGGGCGGACAACGGGCTGCACGTCAGGGTCTATTTTCATAGAATATGTCACTGGTAGCTTGCCAAGTTCATCCTTAAATAGATCTGCATACTCTGTGAAGATCTTGTGCGGCAGGTTGGCCTCTGTGTTCACACTGAGTTGGTGAACATCCTTGCTCAGTTTCACTAGCTTCATGCGCAGGCTTGCTGGTAGGCCTAGTAGTGGCTGGACATTCCTCTCCACAATGTGGAACTGTAGTGTATACTGCTGACCTGCAAGCTGACATTGTAAGACGACTGAGCCCAAGGTGCTGATCATGTTTCCCCCATATGCGACAAGGTTGGTGATTATCGAGCGGTCAATCTGTTCTCCGCTCTCCACATGTTTGAAAGCATCATAGGATAGAACGTTGCACTGTCCACCCGTGTCGACTTTCATCTCGACAGCTTTGCCGTTGATGTGCACGGTGGCGAACGCTACATTCTTTTCTTGCACATTTGAGCATATTGTGTGTACGACAACTGGTGCTATCCCATCAATACAGAATGAGTCATCTTCAGCAGTGCTGCCCGTGGCTTGGTTCAGTTCGAGGTGGTGGACGGACTCCCTGGAGCCCTGCATCCTAGGGTATCTCTGCACTGACCTGCAGCATTTCTTGTAGTGGTTCCATTTTTTGCATGCGTGGCATTGTTGACCAAAAGCTGGACAACTTTCCCTCTTGGCATCATGGCTGCCACCACAATTGTTACAGTTGACAATGGGCTGACCGTTTCTCCCTGTCTGCGCCCTCTGTCGTGGCTCAAATCTCTGCTTCCTGCCACATTTGTACTGCAGACTGTCAACACTAGTGGGAGTATGCGGTGACGACAATACCCTGGTGTGTTGTTCTGTTTGCTCATAAATTTGACACACGGAGATTGCTTTAGCCAGAGTCAGCTCACTGTCACGCAGCATTATTTTTCTCAGATTGTCATCATTTATGCCACAAACCAATCTGTCACGGATGAGCTCGTCTTGCAGTGGTCCAAAGTTACAGCTCTTTGCTTTTATCTTTAGATCTGTGACATATGATTCGAATGTCTCACCTTGGTTTTGGAACCGTGCATTGAACTTGTGTCTCTCCACTATAATGTTTATTCGGGGACTGCAGATTGCCCGGAATTTCCTCTTCAAGCATTCAGGGTCCTCTTTTGACTCTGCAGGAGTGATGATGTGTCCCGGTGCGTCGTCAACGTCGGGTCCTCTCACCGCGGGCGTGTAGACGAACGACCTCTCCCTTTCAATGGCCTCCGATCCTGCTAGATTGAGGAGAATGTAGGCTTGTGTGCGGGCCGACTTGTCAGAGTGTGCCGCCGCGATAAAAATGTCATATTCCTGTTCAAACACTCGCCAATTCTCCGCGATGTTCTCATCAAAGACGAGGGGGTCTGGTCTGCGAAATCCATCCGACATGATGCACGTATGTCCGTTGGCGGGAATAGCTGGGTAGCAACGTTAGAAACTGGTTATTGTCTTTATCGACCGGCAAGTAGTCGTGCGCACCGTGAGGAACGAGTTGCACGATCAAAAGTGTCCGTGTTTACTTCTGACACCATGTTGAAAGACCACACGGAGGGAATACTTTATAAACCGAGTTCTGTTTATTAGCTTCACTCGTACAGCTCTAAGTATCCGGCGTCATAGCATAGAATGAATACCCTGCCACTTGCGCATGTGCAGTAAAACAATCACAAGTACGGTGGCTACAGAGGCACATTAAACTTCAAGCGAGCATTGGGTGAATGCTCTACTTACAAAGATGTATACACAAACATCTTTGACACAAATGTATGCAAATTTGAGGGGAGAAATGGATGTGGAATTAAAAACGGTATTGGATGCATATTTATAAATAAGAGACAAGAGAAAGATATTGTTTTTGAAGTTTATTTTGTGATAATCGTCTGCACATGTATTGCACCAAATTCTAAACAAATTAAAATCCCATCTCATAATTTTATTTATTTATTTATAAAAGGCAAACCCAGTGGCAACACAGTGGTTATCAAACTCAAAAACATATTTGTTACTAAATATTCTTTGCCTGAAGAAGAGGAGAAGATTGAGCACATGAGTGCTGCGTGTTCAACTCTCCTGTAAAGGCAGGGGCTGGTATCTCATCGTTGATTTCCTGGATTTGTAAAAGATGAGGCCGCAGATCATTCCCACTGTGGCCAGAGCACAACCAGCAATGAAGACCAGGTTCATGTTGAGGTTCAGGGCTGTGGAAGAGAAGAGATATTATTTACAAAGATCCCTGGTTTATTGCGGGGGTAATGTGTTCTGAAAATAATCCACAATAAGTGAATTCCTTGAAGTAGCAGCTCTATGATGTTGAGAGGGACCAGAGAGACTAAAAATATAAGGTAACTGTCATGTTATACCAGCAGTTATATGAAGCCAAGTACACCGTTTTTGTCCACCTTGGATGAATAGAGAAGCTGAACAGTTGTAAAAACTTTCACTGAAGAAAAAATCTTGGGGAGGTTGTTGCTGTTTTAGTGTTTTTTGTGTATGACATTTGTGACATTTATGTGTTCAATCTTTAATTGTACCCAATCCTGCTCCATCCCTCTCAGAGTTCCTCAGTTTCACAGGGCCCTGTGACACATAGTGGACTCCGGTCTCAATAGCAGCTTCTCTCCTCCTTCTGTGAGCTCCACTGGGCAGACATCCATGAGAGCAGCGAGTGTTGGGGTTCCCAGCCTCACACATCAGCACCGAGCAGCCAATGTACACCTGGGAACGAGACAAGACACAAGAGAAGAGAGATGAGGCCATTTAATGAGCACAGCCTGAGTCCTACTTAGAATCAGACGTCCTCTCACATTAGTTCTGGTCTCAGGTCTTTGTCTGGCCTCCTTGTTCAGCACTTTGAGTCTTAAGGTACAGTCAATGGCCCTCATTTATGAAACTTGCATAAGGCCAAATCAGGATGTAAATGAGGCGTACGGAAAATTTATCAATCTGGAAGTGAGCGTACGGTACACACAGAATATACACTGAGTCTGGAGGTGGTGTAAATTTTACACCCATCTCAACCTCTATCTCAACACGCAAATATCAACAAATACATTTGGACAACAATCAGCAGTACAAATTCCCCCTCTCTCACTCACCAGTACCACCTTCACCCTGTGCAGCTCAGACAGGCTCTTATTCAACCATTTAAAAATAATAATCACATATATAATTTGACGATACTTTTTTTTCTTAATATTTTCTTTTGGATGCTTTGGTCTGGTGGTCCTTCCCTGGGCTGCTGAGCACTTCTTTTATGAGCTGCTAAACGCCTTTTTGATTTTTTTTTTTTTTTTTACCTGTGGCATAAATTAATACATTCTAACTATTGGCCCAATATATCTGTCAACTGTTTGATAGAATACAGCGTAGATTTCTTTTTAAACAAACATGAATAAACTCACCTTTTCAGGAGTGCATGTAACAGGCCCCACACTGTCATCTCTTTCCATATTTTGTTTTTTGAGCCCCCTTGATGCCACTTTTGAGGCCTCCAAATAGTAAGACTTTATTTTTTTCCCACTTTGTTCATAATAGTCTCAATCTCCTGCTATGTTAAGTTTTATTCTTTGCCGTCTTGCTTTCAATTGTCGAAAAAACAGAATGTGAAAAAGGCGGTTGCTGCATATTTATAGGCCTGACTTTCATAAATATGTTTGTTTTCAGCCACGGCATTCATGAACAGGTGCATATGCTCAAATCTGGGCGGATCTCACACGTTCATAAATCCCACGTTGGATGTTGCGTATTTGAAATATACACCCAAAATGTACACCCTTTTCTGCCTGCGCAAGTTTCATAGATGAGGGCCAATGTCTCAAGGGACAATCAAGGGTGAGTACCTGGTCATGAAGGCCGATGAACTTGAAGGCCTCAATGCTGAATGCGTATAGTCTGGCTTGACTTTGATGGACGACCAGTGTTGGGTCTTTGATGCAGCTGTGAAAAAACAGACAAGAGCTAAATTGTTAATTTATGTCACATGTATTCAGTTATTGAGCTAAACTAAAAACTGAGAGAACCAGTTGTTCTGCTTCACTGACCCGTTTTGGATGAGCAAATAGGGGCTGTGGTAGTTGGGGTTGTCGTAAGGCGCAGCGCTGCACGACTCCACAAACATCTCTGTGTTGTTGACTGTGGTCATGGCCTGGATCTCCATGTAGATACGTTGGCCCACGTCATACTCCAAAGGGTAACTCCGTGGGTCGATTCTGGACACAAACTGGGAATCTGGGAAGATCTCGAATACATAGGTGAAGGTCCCAAAGCCCTTGTCCCACACGGTCACATTCTCTCTGTGAGCGCTGAAGCTCAGGGACACGTTTCCTCTCTTGGCATATTGGCAGAAGAACTTGATCTCCACCTGGTGTCTTCTGGTGATGATGGCTGTAGGGTCATCCACAGTGGTGATCTCATTCTTGAAAAGGAGATCATCGTCATCTTCCTAAGAACACAACAGTGAGGATATTAACGACTGAAACCCTCACAGTAAATAATGGGGAGAAATAATAAACCTGATAGAATCACATCATTCCTGAAGTATGTGTGAGGATATGATTATTCAACTTGTTTCTCTTTCCCACACACTACAGGGGATGTAAAGATTATTTCACAAAATAAACTAAAATATAGTTGCTTTACTGGCAAAGAAAAGCAATTTGTGTTTAAATCTTAGTTAGAGACCAGAGACCAAAGAGAGAGAGAGAGAAATCAGAAAGCAGAGACTGGGAAACCAAGTAAAGAGACCAGAGGGGGACCAGAGAGACCAGAGAGATATCAATATAGTCCATTTCTTCTTAATAAATCTTGATTATCGACAAATGCTGTAAATGTGTAGTAGAAAAGAGAGGGAGGCAAGGAGACCAGAAAGAGGGAGACCAGAAAGAGGGAGACCAGAGAGAGGGACCAGAGAGAGAGAGAAAGACTGAACAGCCCCATGAAGCACAGACAGGCTTGTTTTTGAGCGTATTACATGTTTTATGTTGTTTGCTTGATACACTAAAGCATGCATATATATGTTTTTGTTATTTTCATAGTGCTCGCCTCAATATCTGTGCCGCAGGCGTTGAGGGGGATGATGGCAACAACGTGAGTGCTGTTGGAGTGAGTCTGGAGGCTGCACACAGTGTTACTGGGATCAGACAGACGGAGATGATCGTAATGGAGTGGAGGTAACGTGGCCTTCTCCACTTCCACAATCATGGAAGACTCCAGGCAGGTGACCACTGTGTTCACTACAAAGAAAAAGAAGCGTTATTTTTGGAGGAGTGAGGTACTGAGGGCTGCTATTGCTAATGCAAGGGGTGGGACAGAATTAGCACAAGATGATATTGACCCAGATCCAGTGAGAGACCAGAGAGAGAGGCCAGAGAGAGAGAGAGCCCTGTGAGAGACTAGAGAGACCAGAGAGAGATCGGAAAGCCCAGTGAGAGCCCAAAGAGAGATAGGGACACCATTGAGAGAGAGAAAGAAAGAAAGAGAGAGAGAGGCCAGAGGAAGAGGGATCATAGTTTTAACCAGGGATGCACTCATTCATCTTTTTCATAAACTTGGCACATATGGACTGATATGAATTCTCGTCTTAAGTCTTTGCAAAATGTACATATTTAAAATTTGTTCTGAAAGTAAAAACTAAAACCTTACTAACTCCTAAATCAAACTGGACTTGGATTGAAAATGAATATATGAATGAATATGAAATACCCAGTTCATCGGTGACGTTGACCAGTACACATCTCATCTCTGATTGGTGGACTGAAGATCTGATCCCAGAGAGGAAACAAATTAGTTACTACAATGTTTTAGAAATATGTATAAAATATGTTATAATGAGGATAATCCATTATAATTGTGTGAAAATCTTCTTCTGAATAATAGACCAGATAGAGGGAGACCAGAAAGTGAGGGAGACCAGAGAGAGAAAGACAAGATAGAGAGAGAAACCAGAGAGAGATCAGAGACCAGAGATAGACTAGAAAGTTCAAAGACAGACCAAATAGAGGGACCAGAGAGAGCAAAACCAGAGTGAGAGAGACCAGAGAGAGCAACCAGAGAGACAGAGCGACCAGAGAGACAGAGCGACCAGAGAATGATCAAAGAGAGGGACCAAGGAGAGAGAGAGAGGAGACTAGAGAGAGAATGAGACCAGAGAGAGAACAAAAACAGAGAGATCAGCGACAAGAGAGCCCAAAGAGAGAGATCAGAGAGAGGCCAGAACGAGAGAGACCAGAAACAGAGAACCCAGAGAGAGAGACCAGAGAGAGACTGGAGATATGCCAGAGACCTGTGACTGAACCCTGTCCAAAACAAAACGTCTGTGTTTAAATTCTTCAACCTCTACTCGCAAACAAAACAGTACTGTCTATAAATCTATATATGTTTCACGCTTACCACACACATTACATCTGCCACCTCTGTCTCTTACCCATGTTTGACCTCAACAGCAAAGCAGATGGGGAAATAGAGTCCGTTGTTTGCTGGGATGGGCGTCCATCTGAGGTGGAACTCACCGGCGGTGGTGTGGTGCTTGCTGATGTTCAGGGGCCCAGTTAGTATGATCTGATCCACTCTGTTTGGAGGAAATTCAATCATTGTAAAAAACAACATGTTTTGGGTTTTTTCTGCATGTTTATTCTCACTTACGTTGAGTACTGAGCCTCTGCCTTTACTGTTATATCAAGTTCTTTACCGACTTGAACGGGAATGATCTCTCCATCCATTGGTGTCGGAGAAACCAACTTTGGAAGATAGAGACCTTCAGTACAGCTTGAAACTGGTGGGTCCACTGAAATTAAACACAAAACAAGAATTTTAAACCATACTTATCTTCTTTATTAATGGAGGTATATTATAACTGTGTGGAAAGGCTCTCAAAGGACCCTGGCATTCATTCTCTTCATGTTTTTGATATGTATAGAAGGACAACTCTAACCTACAAGCTCAATAACGCCTAATGGGAAGTGCTTAAACTGCTATCGCTCTATAACGGTGTGGTCCAAGCTTAAGATGTCTACCCCAGGTCTCCAAGACGTTTGCCCATTCAGATCAATGGTCTGTGCTCATTGGTGCATGCTCGCACCACGAATGCCCCAAACATTAGCTGAAGTAGCACGTTCTGGACAGCTATGGTTCTCCCAGTCTTGTGCTGTGGTTTTACTTGAGCAGGACCAGTGAGCAAAACACATGAGCGTTCTGACCAATCACAGTGCTGCGGAGAGACCAGAGTGAGAGAGACCAGAGTGAGAGAGACCAGAAAGAGTGAGACCAGAGAGAGAGAGACCATCCTTGCTTGTGTCAAACGGACCCTTCTGGGCTTTGGAAATCAGTGGTTTAGCGCTCTCTATGATCCTGGTGTTTTTATATTAATAATGTCTACAGAAATGAGCCCTACTGACCAATTCATCCCAAATTTGGTTTGAGATTTCTCCTGATTGGCTTTTGGGTTGCAAGGTCGTCGCTAAGATAAAATAAGCTTTATTCGTTGATTAAAACCAACTCTAATTGGCTTCTTACGCATTCAGGCCATCAATCATTTCCCTGCTGCCAGTGTGATTCAGAAAGGAGACTGACCTTGGAAAACAAACTGCAATGGAAGCACACTGAGTGGAGCATTCCGTGATCCAAGTGTTGTAGTAGTAGTAGTAGTAGGGGGGGCTGTAGTAGTAGGGGGGTATGTAGTAGTAGTAGGGGGGGCTGTAGTAGTAGGGGGGTATGTAGTAGTAGTAGGGGGGGCTGTAGTAGTAGTAGTAGGGGGGGTTGTAGTAGCGTAGGGGTAGTAGTGGTAATATGAATGGGGGTATGTAGTAGTAGCAGTAGTAGTAGGAGGGTATGTAGTAGTGTTGGAGTAGTAGTGGTAATATGGTGTTCTCTTTCTTCGTGCTGTAGCTCCGGATCTGTGAGACACGGAGCCGTCTGAGTAGCGGAGCGTGATAGACTGCTGTGGAAAGTCCTCCACCACCAGCTCAAACTCATAGATGCCCTGGCTTGCACTTTGGAACTGTAGGGTACATTCAGCCTGGGAAAAGAAGTACAATCAACATCAGCATAAAACAAGGAGAAACACAAGTGAGGATAGGTATAACACTGGGAGAAACACAGCTGAGGACAGCCATAACACTGGGAGAAACACAGCTGAGGACAGCCATAACACTGGGAGAAACACAGCTGAGGACAGGCATAACACTGGGAGAAACACAGCTGAGGACAGGCATAACACTAGGGGGAAGACAGAAGAGGACTGGCATAACACAGAGCTGATAGCAAGCACAAAGTTTTACATGTTTTCACACCTTTTAAAGAAATGGTTATTATCAAACCAAACTTGCACTTATGTGTTGCTCATGCAGAGAGAGAGAGAGAGAGAGAGAGAGAGAGAGAGAGAGATAGAGAGAGGCAGAGAGAGAGAGTTTGACCAACATAAATGAGCAAAATGAATGTGAGGTTTTAACAAATTGTGCACGCAAAGACTTGTATTTTGACCAAATGTAAGCCGTACATCCATGAATGTCTGTTATTTTTGGCCCACTACAGGTGGAAATTATCTCTTGAGCTATAACCTGGTACAATGCATCTTTCCCTTTGATGTTGATGTTTATAGTACACTGTCTCTGTCATCTCTAATAAACAAACTAAACACTAGGGGAAAGAGAGGAGAGGACCGCCATAACTCTGTGAGAAAGACAAGTGAGGACAGGCATAACACTAAGGGAAGCAGAGGACCGGCATAACACCAGGAGAGAGACAGAACAGGGCTAACAAAGTGCCAAAAATGAAAATGGTTAAAGATGTTGAACCTCATTCAGGGAGAACCCATGGTGTGTTCGACAGTCATAACATTCTGCAGCTGCAAAGTGACCGTATCTGCATCGCACTACATCTCCGTCCGGGTCAAAGGTCATAAGGTTGTAGGTTCGGGGGCAGTTCTGTGGGACTCTTTCAATGGGAAAAAAAAGTATTTCATCACAAATGAAATGAAATTGGTTGCAATCAAACTGAAAATAGCAATTTTAGTGGCCACAATAGCAAATCATTGGACTTTAAGGATTTAGCTGACATGATCTAGTTGGTCATCTGCCCCTTAAGACCCAATTGTGCTTGAACTGTTTGATTCTCTGATATGTGTTGGGGAATTCAACAGCTTTGTAAAGTCCACCGAGATAACTACTGTTGAGAATTAGGGCTCTGGTCTCCCTCTGTCAGGTCTCCCTCGCTCTGGTTTTTCTTTGGACAGGCATAACTCTAGGCGAAAGACTAAGGAGGATCGAAAGAAAGAATCTCCTTAAAGTAGTACTAGAATTTAATATGCTGCTATCCAGAATATATAACTACAATATGTGTTTATAATATTTTGGGTGTTCATTTTGACATGTTCAGATGAATTATGTTAAAAAAACGGTTTGAAGTGGCACCTTTTAACAAACGCTAGGGGGCGCCAAAATGGCGGCGATGACGTAGGAGAAGGACATCTCACAGCAGAGGACAGCAGTCTTGGCTGGAATCTGTTGGAGGTTTCACTGTCATCTGAACAAGGTATAAACATATTTTTATCAGTTTAGTACATAATAGTGTGCAACTCTTTTAACCTTTTAGCCTTATTTGTGAGATTCAAGCTAATTAGTGTTGGACAAGTTAGCTAACTCTGCTAACAAGGCTAATATTCGTTTTTACATTATACCAGGCTCACTTTGGTTGCCTTAGATTTATTTACCACAATGTACATTGTAATATTCAAAAATGCTAATGAAAATAACTTGAAATAAATAAATATTTTACTTTTATGAACAAAAAGCTGAAAACATAGACTACATGTGATGCAATCATTGATAAAAAATGCTAATTAAACCGTTAATAGGTGTTAGCATTTATGGATATTACAATGTACATGGTCGTAAATAAATCTAAGGCAACCAAAGTGAGACTGGCAGAATGTAAAAATGAATATTAGCCTTGTTAGCATGTTTTATGATATCAAGCAGAGTTAGCTAACTTGCCCAACACTAATTATCTTGAATCTCACAAATAAGGCTAAAAGGTTAAAAGAGTTGCACACTATTATGTACAAAACGGATGAAAATATGTTTATACCTTGTTCAGATGACAGTGAAACCTACAGATTCCAGCCAAGACTGCTGTCCTCTGCTGTGAGAGGTCATTCTCCTACGTCATCGCCGCCATTTTGGCGCCCCCTAGTGTTTCTATGCGGAAGTGAAAAGGTGCCACTTCAAAGCCGTTTTTTAAACATAATTCATCTGAACATGTCAAAATGAACACCAGAAATATTATAAACACATATTGTAGTTATATATTCTGGATAGCAGCATATTAAATTCTCGTACTACTTTAGTATTTTCCTCTCTCATTTATATTTTAATCCCCCTACATTATTCTAGCTTCATAACGGAAATTTTAATCACAACGGTTTTCAATATTTATTAAAAATTGTTCAGCCCTATCCAACGTCTAGTTTCACCTCACTCACCGGAGGAAGGGGACGATGGCGATGTCGGGAGAGTTGTTGGGCTGGTTTGTGTCAGAGCGAAGGCCAATATCGATTGAGGCAAGTACACTCCAAGATGGAGAATAGGAATAAGATGAATAATAAATCCAACAACAGCTGTCCGCCCTGCAAAAGGAATTAAGAACATCAGTCTGAATGTCTGTCACATGACCCTAACCGTGTGTTAAATCATAATATGATTTACTTATCTTCAGTTGAAAATATATGGTGAAAAAAATACAAAGAGTAAATCGTGCTTTCCGCCTGTTACTCCTTGAGTAAAATATAAATACTGTATGTGATTGTAGAGAGAACTGAGAGAGACCTGCTCAGTTCTCTATCTCTCTCTTGGAGGTCTCTTTGTGGTCTCGTTCTCCCTCTCTAGGGTCTTTATGTGGTCTCTCTTCTGGTCTTTCTCTGATCTCTCTCTGGTCTGTCTGCTATAGTGCTCCACAAATATGTTTAATAACACGGTAAAAGACCTTGTTTTGAATGGAGTGTTTGTTGAGAGAAGTTTGTTGGTGACTGTCTCCGTCTGGCACCAGGAGGAGGCGGTCACTGGTCCGTTGCTGCTGCTGTCGATGATCCCTGCGTCCAACTGATAGTTGTAGCCACAGTTTCCACTGTAGCAGGAGAAGTACTGGTATTGGCAGCCGTGGAATGTTGCCTTGCTCCGAACCTCCACCTGCATAAAACAACCATGATCCTATTTCCTCAGCAAAAACAAATCTACAGCCTAATTCATCTGGAGACCACAGAAAGACCAAAGAGAGACCAGAGAGAGACCGGAGAGAGACCAGAGAGAGATCAAGGAGAGCTTGCAAACAAGCCACAAAAGTTTTCTTCTGAGTTTAAATAAAAGTCAGAAGAAAACCTTGTAGTTACCTCGTAGTTCCCAGTGCTGCCAAGACCTTTAGCGGTAAAAGTCACGACCCCGCCGTAGAAGTGGGATGCAGAGCTGAGCGTGACAAGCATCAGGAGAAGGAGCAGCGTGAGAGCCATGATGTCCACTGCCCTCTCTCTCCTCCTCAGCATCTTTTATACCTTTCATTTCGCCTGTGTTTACTCTGGAATGCAGCAAATCAAAACAGCAACGAAGCTGCCAAACTAGTTTGATGGAATGAAGGAAATAAACGTGGCCCCATTTATTGTAAAGGCCACAGTGAAAAAGTCCACTCACGGACGACATCAGCAGAAATATTCAGATCCAGTTCTGTTAAAACTGATTTATCTGCATCTATGAATGATTTGGTATCTCTCTGCTTTCTCTCTCTGGTCTCTCTCTCTGGTCTTTCCCAGATCTCTCATTCCTGTCTGTCCCATATCTCTCTAATAATAACTTAAATTAAAGCCTTAAGCGGGCGCCAGTCCCATAAGTGGCATGCAGCGTACTTGCCGATGAATTCGGAAGTCGGAAGCCTCTCATAGGTGGCGCTCTAGAGTCATACTAGGTGTGTATTTTCACACAATTACGCTCAGGCTATTACCAACTGTTAGTGATGTGAGTTTCAGCTCTGTAGGTTGAGCCTGTGGCCAAGAGAGCATCCAACACAGAGAAATTCCCAACCGCCTTGCATGCAAACTGTGAATAATTTCTAACTGTTTCTTGAAAATTGGAAATCTCCAATCCGTCCAGATGGGAAAATGACACGGTGCAATGAAAAACTTGGGCATAGATCAAATTCAAAAACACAACTTGAACTGCCTGTAGGTGGCGCTGTTGCACTCACAGTTGTGTGTTGCATATTATTCTGTTCAGGGTCATAGGCTGTATTTGTGAATTTATTTCTAACCATATTGGACAAACATTGAGCTCAACAAGCTCATTCAAATAATTCAAGAATTCACCCCCAGTGGTCAGATGTGGGACTTACAACTTTTGTGCAATGTAATGCTCTTCTCGGAATGTAATTCTCTTCTCGGTTCAGAGATTACGTTCTCATACTCTATTACTTTTCGACAGGTGGCGCTATAGAGTTCATATTTGGCATATAGGTGAGTCTCAACTCTGAGGTCTGAGCCTGTGGCCCTGAGGGCTCAGCAAAAACACCCAAAACAAAGGTCTTCTTTGCGATGGCGAGGGACGAAAACGTTGAAGAATTTCTAACTTTTTGAAGGGATTATGTAAATGAAATCCGTCCAGATTGGGAAATTACACGGTAGAAGTCTGTATGATGAAAAATCAGAAACAAGGCATGATGGCGGCGAAACTTCCGACCATCATGGCCGACTTCCTGTTGGTCTCAGAGCGAGGCTCTAAGAAAGTTCTAGGCTTGTCTCATAGAGATATTTCAATTTTGTGTACCTATTCTAAAATATGCATGCTTTGCAAAACTGAATTTTCCAGCGGGCGATATACAGTTGCATGCATTGGAAAAACTTGAAACTTCCTTTTTGTAAACATTTTAATGCGACCGGTTTGGCGGGCGTCTAATACAAGTGTAGCAGGCCAGTTTAACCCCCCGCCAGAATATACCCGGGGTTAAAATAGCCTAGGCCAGAATAGACCCCGGGGTATAAACTGGCCGAGGCTATTTTAACCCCCCATCATTGTTATATAATAATAATAATAATGATAATAATAATAATGCATCGGTTTTATATAGCGCTTTTATGTGTCATTATTCATTCACTCCATACACGGTGGTGATAAACTACTGCTGTAGCCACAGCTGCCCTGGGGCACACTGACAGAGGCGAGGCAACCAGTATGCGCCATCGGCCCCTCCGACCTCCACCAACCATTCACACACACCAGACTCATTCTAGGCAATGGGGGTGAAGTGTCTTGCGGCTTTCTGATTGGTCGCTGCATGTGCGCCCCGAGGAAACGCTCAGCAATATTTATCTCCTGCATGCGTTGATTTTCCGCTCTTGCACCTCTGCCGCGCAGTTCATGTGTCACCATTGACTTTGCACTGAAAGTCGACGCAATGCATGATCCGGTGTGAAAGCACCATATGATGAGTTATCACATGAAACATGTGATAAGTAAGTAGATACATGGAGTCATCACCTCACAAACAAAGTGTGAAAAGCAATTGTACTTATTCAGGCTGCAGTAATTAATTAACAGACTACTTCTAAATGATTTCAAATAATTTTGAAGTTTCAAAAATATATTCAATAACGTATATTTTGTTATTAGATAAAACAAGAGGGGGGTTAATCTGGCCTAAAGGGGGTTAAAATAGCCTAGGCCAGAATAAACCCCGGGGTATATTCTGGCCCAGGCTATTTTAACCCCGGGGTGTAAACTGGCCAGGGGGTTTAAAACGGCCTGTTACACCGGCACCTCATCCTGACATAGAGCGACGAGAGCAATAAAAAGTTATTAGAAAAAGTGATTAGCCTTTCCAAACATGCAGTGAGCGATGTCACACAGTCCAGCGTTGACACCAATCCCTGAAAAAAATCGCTCGCCTTGTCTCTATTTGGACGACTTTTCGTGGCAGCGTCCTGCCCCTAAACACTTCTTATTGATTGAAACACACTGTTCCTTGTTTCTTATATCCCATTATATACGACCCAAAACACTCGTACCACAAACGGCAACCAGGAAATGTCAGAAATCTCAAAAAGAGAGCCTGAAGTGTCTTTACGTCCCTCAATGATTTGATTGGTTTGGATTCGGAACCAATAGAATCACTCGCAACAAAATCAACACGCTGCATATAATATGAAAGCAACAAATAACAATAGCCCTCTGCAATGCTACGTATTGGCACGGGCTAATAATATGAAACCGGCCAATAACTATAGCCCTCTCCTCTTTGTATTAGCTCGGGCTAATAATGTAAGAATCAATGTAAAATATAGAATCACATGTGACCACTGTCACTTTACTTAGTCACTTTGTCCCATACCCTTATTCTGCACAGAGTTATACATACAACTAGATATAGAAAGATATTGAGATTTATGATGCTAAAGTCAGAGATTGTGTACTTAGTTCTTGCTTCTTCATTATGTTATGTGTCCATTAAGTTTGAGATCTTAGATGTGCTTCCTTCTTATGCTTAAGGTAGATATTTTATTCTTGATTATTTTTTATGCTAAAGGTAGAGATTTTATTTTATTTTATTTTAGTAAAGAGTTATTGTTTGTTTATTATGCGTTGCGTGTTCCTCATTCCTACTGTTCTCTTATCAGTGATGCAATAGTGAAATCTCCCCACTGTGGGACGTATAAAGGATCTCTTAATCTTAATATTAATTTCTCTCTTAGGTCTCAATCTAGTCTTGCTCTCTCTGCTCTTTCCCAGTCTCTCTCTGGTCTTGGTCTCTGGTCTCTCTCTGGTCTTTCTTTGGTCTCTCATTTTGTGAAGTTTCCCTGTGGATGAATTGCACTGCATACATAAACAGGCCTTGCTTCTGGTAAATAGAAAGCCAAACCCTTTCTGCTCTTGAAAAAGGCCACTCATGTGATGTCATACATCAAACAGGCCGTGCCTTGTTATGCTTTGGCATAAAATATAGGCGACGAGAGCAGAAAGGGTTTGGATGTATTAAATAGGTCATAAGAGCAGAAAGGGTTTGGATAGCCAAACCCTTTCTGCTCTCATGACCTATTTAATACAACTTCTCTTGTCTCTCTTCGCCGATACAACTGTGGTTGTGATTTAGGGCGATACACAAATACTGCATATTCAATTCAATTCAATTGTGGAGCACTTTGCGTTGCCCTGTGTATGATTAGCACTACATGAATAAACATACCTTGCCTTATTATGTTTCTGAAAAATAGAAAGCTAAACTCTTTCTGCTCTTATTACCTATTTAATACAACTGCTCTGGTCTCTCTCTCTCTCTGATATCTCTTTGGACTTTCACTCTGGTCTTTCTCTTTTGCCTCTCTCTGGTCTCTCCCTGATCTTTCTTACTGGTCTCTCTCTGGTGAGGGGTTTTACAATCTTAAAATATAGAGCAGCTTCTTACAAGGATTTATGGGTAAATTTGTAGAGCACATTACCCCTGTGATAAACCAGGAACTAATACATCATAACAATACATTGTTATGAGGCTTCCTACAGTATAAGTGTGATAATTTCCTTCAACTTACTGAACAGGATTTGCAGCTGTTACTGTAAGTGGTTCTTAAGTGATACTCCCGTCGTCTTAATCTTTCTTTGTGTGTATTCTGAACAATGGTTGGATATGAATCAAAAATGTTGCCCAACGGGTTGCCTACAACTAAAAGGAAGTGATCACCATTGTTTGTGTAGAAATGAATATGACTATGGCAAATTAACAATCAATTATTGGTTATTTGTAACTTGGAGTTTGTTAATTAAATGAATATTCTTGCAGCTGTGGCCTTTGAGACAAAGGACAACTCAACTAGGTCCAAATCAACACACACGGGTCTGGTTTAAGGATTAGATTGAGGAACACTGGGGCCTCTAACCCTCTGTTGGTGAATACTGGGCCTTGAACCTATTCTTTCTCAGTCCAGGTTTTATCCCTTTTGTTCGGTTGAAAATCTGTATCATAGGCGACCCATTGAAAGTTGTTCAGTTCACAATTAATGTCACAAACTGTCACTGCCTACGTTATGCCATATCTTTATTGTGTTATGAATCCAATAATTTAAACCTTTTCCTTGTTTGGCCAAATTGTTGTCTGTGATCACTGCTGGTAATGGGATTTTAGAAGATTGAGAGATCCTTTTCTCGTTTCAAATTTCAGTGTTGCATCACAAGTTTTGGATTAGTAGGAAAGAGGAGCACACAGCACAAGATAAGTGAACAATTGCTATACTAATTAAAAGAAAACAAAATCTCTAACTATAGCATGAAATAACAAGTATAAAATCTCTATCTTGAAAATAATTGTATTAAAAAAGAAGTATAAAAGTTTTACATTATACTTAGATATACTGGTTTCTATTGTCTTCCAATTGTCTGGATTGTGTAGAGGTACACCAATAAAGTAATAATCTGTGAAGTATAGTATAGTATATATGTGATGTTCCACCCTTAACTTTTTTGTAACTGTAGAACATTGTATCTGAATCAATTATTATTACTGCATTTC